GTTCTCTCTGGGAGATGACTTTGCACAGCAAAAATTCAGATCCTGTGTCTTTTGAAAAATAAGTATAGCTAGCATATTGAAAAACCACAGCTTATAGTTTAGTAAAAGCAAAACTTTATTTTTCCCATTATCCTTTTACAGTGGGAAATTTAGTCTGCGGGGTAACTTTTCTGCTCTGCATGAGGACCCCAGCAGCCTATAAGTTCCTGCTTATTCTTAGGTGACAGACGATCTACAGTCACTAAGTCACAAATAAGTCAGATGCGAAAATTAGAAAATCCAATCCTGTGTAATAGTCAAACCTTTGAACTTAATTTGCTGTTAAACCTCCTCTCCCACCTCCATTCTCTCCCATACTCCATTCCCACTCTTGGGCTGGCTTTAGGATTGAAACCAGCAGTAATTTAGAGGGTGTAGTCCGTCTCCTTTTCTTTACCTCACATTTCTACTCTTCTTTGCCTATCCTGATAGCTGCTATTTTGATTTCACGAGAGTCCAGTGGGTCTGGGGGTGACAGGGAGAGGTGATAAATTGAACACTTCTTACTTGAACTAGTACTGTTGTCATTTGGTCTCATTCTGGTCTTACAGATGAATTTTCCCTTGAGGTGTCATTTTCCTGGCTTCTTCGGTGTTTTCCCTCTTTTTTCTACAATTTCCTTGACTCAGCAACTTCTCCTATGTCTTTGTCCTGATACTCACTATGACTTCTTCCTTAGCCCCTGGACACCGAGCAGTGTATTCCAAAGCTCCTCCAACCTCTTCCAGGTGGCTCTATAGGACTGACCCAAGACAGTCCCCTTATTGACTTACTCTGTGTGTAGGGGACACAACTCTTGCAAGGAACACTCATGCATCCCTGGCCAGGGACTGGCATGAGTCCCAAGGCAACAGCACTCCAAAGAAGTCAGCTATTCTCATTCCTTTTAGATCGCCACCTGGTAGGACTTAGACCCTGGCCATACTGTCAATTTCATCTTTCTCAAAAGTGAGTTGGTCTTCGAAGCCTCTCAGCCTAGGGAAACACTTCCACTGCTTTCTGAGGGATTCTTTCCTCCAGGCTCATAGTTAGAAGGTTGCCCCTCCTCCCAATTCCCTGAGAGCATGGAAAGCTTGGCAAAATAATGCCTGCCCCTCCCCTCCATCAAGAGATATCTTCTCGATCTCTTTTATCTCCATTCTCTGACCCTTCTTCTGTGGCCTTCATCTAGCTGAGAAGCTCAACAGTCACCCCCAGGTTCTCAAGGCCATTTATTTTCAATATCTTTGTAACATATTTTGGCGCCTTTCTCTGGAATTTTACATCTATTATGTTTTGTTGCATGGTGAAAATGTCAATTTTCAGATCCTATTACACAAGTTATAAACAAACATGATTCATAAGCCAACATTTGAACCACGGTCCAGTGGGGTAACATCTGGCTCTACTAAAACTTTTGATTTCTCAGTGTGTTATTGTGTAAAAAAACTGCGGAGGAGGACAACTTTCCTAAGAGTTTTATTTAATGCTTGATCAGCTATGCTATTCAGCACTTGTTAACTAGAGCTGTAGGAATACAAAGTTCATAAAATAATTTGGAATGAAATAGCTTACTGAGTGGATGTAGTGGATATTTTTATATGGTAGTAGATTTATTCTCCAAGAATGTCATGTGGTTCTTAATCATGAAGAAAGCAGAGAGTCCATGATCCACTTCCAGCGCAAGAAAGCAGTAAGTCCATTAGTCTCTTTCTAGACAGGAGGGCAGGAAAGTGGCTCTGCAATACTGACCCACAAGGAGACAAATTCTCCCAAATTAACTCCCTCACCAGCTGACCATTCTAAACACAGACTTCATGGACACCATAATAGCATGTTTCGGTGAGAGCTGAAGGGAAGAGAGGGTGGTGGATGGTTCTATTTTCTGAGGTCAGAATATCTTTGCAGGGTTGCTTGAGTCCAAAGCATAGAGAAAACAGAAAGAAACACCACTGTGAGGTTCCCAGAGGCGGCATAATCTGATCATATGCGCTGCTGTTTAGACTTGACTTTTGCAGTTAAGGTTGAGGGCCAAAGGTTGTGTGCTGGAGGGATTTCCCCCTAACTTTTTGTTTGTTTGTGTAAAACTAGGGAGGGAAATTGTTGAATGAAATGCAAGAGATTTTCTTTTATTTTACTTATTTGGAGACCTGAATTATGGAATTGGAAAACGTTTGCTTGATGTTTGATTTGCTAAAGTGGCAACTCTTTAAGCTGGTGCCCCCACCTGCTTTTATGCTCCAGGTTCACTTTTTGAACCTGGAGAATAAAAGTTTCCCACTTCCTTAAAGTGTCTAATTTTCTCCCCACTTCCCACCTTGCAGCCTCTTTGAGATTCACAAGCTTTGTGAAGTCATGGCAGCTAAGAATGTATGATCAAGCTTTACTTCCTATAGTTTCTTTTACAAAGACAATAGGCATTTGCTGGCTTTTTAAAAATATGTGTTTATATATTTTTTAAAATAGGAGAGAATCCCTCAGAGAGCATGTATTTTTTTAATATACCACCAGTTGTACCAAATGTCCTATAATTTCAGAGGGCTCAAAGACCTTCTGAAGGCCATGCATGAACCTGCAAGGGGGTTGTTTCTCCCAACTTTAGAGGACTCTGTCACGGCCACCTCATGGGCTCATTTTCCATCCTGCTGGATATCCTAATCCCTCTTAGAATCAGTTTTAAAGCTGTGAGTGACCTTAGAGATCATCTACATTTTATAGAAAATTTAAGTGGTATATTAAGCAACTTTCCCAAAGTTACATGAGTGTCTTTACACTACAGGTTCCGAGCAAGAACTCAGGTGACTGAATTTCCTGTTGACTCCTATTCTTTCCACTATATTGTCAATGGCTTGAGTCTTCTCTACTTTGTCCCGTCCCCTTACAGACAGTAACCAAAACCATAAAACAAATGCCAGGATAACACACTCTGCCAAAGTACTTTATATTCTTTTGTATATACTGATATAATGCTGTTTTTCTTTTATACTAGTACTTGGCTAAACAAAATACTTATGCAGTTGCTGTGAACCCAGATTTTTGCCAAGTATTATAAATGATACAGAATAAAAAATATATTAACTCTAATTTCTAGCAGTTTCAAATTTACTAGGGAGACAAATATGACTCATGTTTAACCTGTGGCCAGCTGTAACCCCTAGAACTTTTCTTTTATATTTATAATTTTTGCGGGTATAATAGTAGGTATATGTATTTGTGGGGTACATGAGACACTTTGATACAGGCATGCAATGCATAAGAATCACATCATGAAGAATGGGGTATCCATTCCCTCAAGCATTTATCTGCTTTGCTACAAACAATTATACTCTTTTAGTTATTTTTAAATGTACAATTAAATTATTTTGACTACAGTCACCCTGTTGTGCTATTAAATACTAGTTATTATTCATTCTAACTATTTTTCTTTTGGTACCCATTACCATCCCCACCTCCCCCCTGACCCTGGGACTTTTAAAGATGCATCTGTAATTAGTGATTTCCAGGCCTCCATTCCATCCTCTAACTCACCCCTCTTTGATTTCTTGTATAGTTCATCTGTATCAAGAATGGTTTGTGAGATTGGAAGGGATATAGGAGAATTCAAAGGCGTTTTGTTGGTAAAATTAATTACCAATAATATAAAAGCTCAAACAGCAGTACGAGGTAAATAGTGTCATTATTTTCTAGGTGAGGAAACTGAGGCTTAACAAGATTATGTGACTTGTCCAGGAGTGCAGAGTTGGTAGTAGATGGAGTGGAGTAGGCTCTTTCAGCAAAAGTAGCTGGTATCAGAGCCCGCAGGGATCCCTCCAGCCTATGCAACTAAGAGTATAATAATGTGGGCAAGGGCAAATAGGCCAAAATAGGCTTACTGTAAATCATTGTTTTTGTCACGTGAGGTCATGATACCTAAAAATAGCTGACTGAGAGGTGTTTGCATGTGCCAGCTGTCCCATGTGTCCTACCTAAAGCTGTGTGAATTTTTATGCGAGCAGCAACCGTGTAACAGTGAAGGAGGGATCACAAAGCTAAGTAATGTGTGGGATACCCTCTTGAGAAATCTTTGTTGAATTCACCTTTTATTTATCCAAAATTGGAGCTGATGCAAAAACAAATGTAGTAGAGACTTTCAGTCTCAGGACCTTTGTTGAAAAAGGAATTTAGCATCCACAGTTGTCATCTAAAAACAGGTTCCCAGGTAAGCAAGTCTTGGCAAATGGGACAATGAGGCTGCAGGATTGTTTTGTTTCAAGAAGAAAGTTGTCTACTGGGACCTATGCTGTCATCAGTCTCAGGCAGTGTTTGCAGAGGGTGAACCTGACATCTTCTCGCCCCTAAGCTTTTCCCTGTAAGTCATCAGTGCATGGTGGGATAATGTGACTCTTTGTATTTTGCCATGGAGATGGAGGAAGAATCAGTAAGGATTTGATAAATTTACCCATGTATAATTGAAAGTTGTTTTGTTTAATCAGCGTGTACCCAAATTGTTTACTCCCAAGGGTGTCTAAAATAAAAACTTTGTGTAAGTTTTTGGCTAGGAAGAAAAGCAGGCATGTGAGAAAAAGAAAAAATATATAGACATTCTTCCACTGACTTTTACTTTAGTGGAAGATGAAAGCAATAGACCATTATCAAATAAGTAACCCTAGCTTTATAAAGACCTGGTTCTCGGAAGACTGGTGTGGCATATTTGCTATATTTGTTTCTATTCTGTTTGTAAAAGGTTTTAAAGGTTTACGATGTAATAAAGCAATTATTTTGTGTTGAAAATTAAAGAGTGTGCTTGTATTTTAGGTCTTATGAGAATTCTAAGGTGCCATGAGAATTGGAGTGTGTTGGTGTGATGGGGTGGGCAGTGAGGAAGATGGGAGGAAACTTCCTCTCACACACCAGGCTAGCTTACAAGCCCTCATCTCTCAATATTTTTTATTCCACTGGGTTGAGATAAAAATAAATAAAAATTTTTCCATAATGTATTTCAGGGTCCTGATAGCATCCCAGCTGGAACCGACATTTGCCAGGTTTGTTTTCCCTTGTTTTGATGAGCCAGCTCTGAAGGCAACTTTTAATATTACAATTATTCATCATCCAAGTTATGTGGCCCTTTCCAACATGCCAAAGCTAGGTAAGTAATGCTTTCTGTCCATATCTAGCTAGCTAGCTATATAAGCTTTGTAATCACATTTACACCAGTGGCTTTTCTAGGCAGTGTATTATGGTGTATTATAAGTACAGTCTCCTATAATTAGGTAGTGCAGTCACCTGGAGTATGTGTCAGCACCCACATCTTGGAGATGGTAAGTCCTGATTCCTTTTGTATTCGAAGGTGAGGATATTATACTGTTCTTATACATAGGCAGTCTGCCTGTCCATTCGTTTGGGCTTCAACTGTTGATCATTAGTGATAACGAGTTGGTGGGCTTGGGCTGAATCTGGTGCACAGTTGTGTTTTATTTAGCTCACGTGCCTTTTTTTTCTTTTGATTAAATCAGTTTCCAACTTTAAAATATCTAGAGATTTTACATAAAAATTTAAATGTGTAAACTGAGAAGTTCTAACAACACTGCGTCTATGGCTCTTACCTGGCAGTGATCAGTTACATTTGAGAGGAGGCTCTAAGTCTCAGGACCTTAGTTGAAAAGGGAATTTAGCCTCCACAATTGCCATCTAAAGGCAGGTTCCCAGGACAGCAAGTCTTGCCGCAGCCAGCAGGAGGCTGGCTGTCTCCTGCAGCCTCTTCTCAGCGGATCCCCAGCACGCCCTATTAGCATACGCCAACCCATTTCACTTCAAGTGCCTGGCCCTGGTAGGTATTTGAGTTTGTGACTATGGTTTTAAAGTCCCCAGATTGTTTCTGCTAAAGTCTTAGTTGAAACCTGAGAATAGTAGAATTGCACCTTGTTGACCTGCCTGGGGGCAGCTCTAGATTGAGTGTTGTGAGAAATGGGCTGGACTAGAAAACAATAGAAGTAGGTGGAAGAGAAAGGAGGCAGATATCAGGGGCTAAGCGTTAGTGCTAGTGGATTTGGCCCTCAATCAAGCTTGTATTATTCAAAATGCTGATTCAGGCCAAAGATATTATTCTGAGATCTTCCTAATGTAGTTTTGGATAGCTTAGGGGAAGGTGGAGAAATCTGAACGGCTAGGCTCTGAGGAATAGCTGGAAAGGAGTAGCTGTGTGACAACTGATTTGACAAATTATTTCAAAGTCTTGTTATTGCTTAGGTTTGCTGTGATTTGAACTAAAATAAATTTCTCTAGGTCAGTCTGAAAAAGAAGATGTGAATGGAAGCAAATGGACTGTTACTACCTTTTCCACTACGCCCCACATGCCAACTTATTTAGTTGCATTTGTTATATGTGACTATGACCATGTCAATAGAACGGAAAGGGGCAAGGAGGTGAGTGAGGAAGATTCTCTAGGTAAGGGAGGGTGTACTGGCTGCAGACTGTTCATTTATTCTTTCTGCCTCCAGTGGCTATGCCTGCATATCCCATAATCGCTTCCTAGTTCTCTCTCCCAAGTCCTGTTAAAGTTCTTAGTGTGGCTTTGCAGAATGGGACGTAACATTTTCTATTGCCATTCTTTGGATAGGTTTCCATGGAAAGACTGCATATTAAACCCACTCCTCAAGACAAGGTCTGTGCTCCCTCTTCCCAGTGTGTTTCTGCTTTTGCAGAAGACAGGAGAGAATGGGGAGCACTGCTGCCCTGAAACCTTGATACTTGGGTTTAGCATGTGATGTGTACTTAGCCAGGGTTTGTGGAGTCTTGAAGCTTGAGTGATATTCAAAACGGTCAGCAACCAGTGTGGCTGGGCATCAACCAGTCAAAACAGACTCTAGCCAGGAAAAAATGCTGTGGCTGAAATGGTGCATGCAGGTTAAATTTCATCCCTATTGTTCTATGAAACGGCCATATAAACAAAGCAACCCCCAAGTGCAGAAGGAGCTCAGAAACCGAAGGAGGCAGACAAATCTAGTTTGTTGGTTTGGAGTGATTTATTAAGTGAACTTAAAGACAGAAGCATGGTCTTGGGTGGCACAAGACAGGTATATCTTTGCTCTGCAACTCCCCAGACCCAGGGCTTATGTCTTGGGGGAAAAGCATACATGCTCTGGAAGGAATGTGTAGTTGCCCACCCACAGGCATCACAGCCTATGATTTCCAGAAGAACAAGGGTGGTTTTGAAGGAAACTTAGAATGAATAGGTGTTTCTACATAATGAGTATCACATTAACTAGACATTTTAAACTCAAGGATAGTTAGAAGTTACATAGTGGATTAGCATTTAAAATAAAGTCACTCTTGTCCCCATACTAATCCAGAAGCTGAACTGCCATGTTCTTCAGCTCTGGAGCATGCAACACTTTTTCTGAGTTGTGTAAAGTTGGCATCTGTCCTGAAGTACCTGGTTTTCACCCAATTACCCCCTTTATGATAATCCTTTAGAAAAATATGGCGGTTATACTGGCAGTGCTTTATATACTGGTTCACTCCCTATCACAGAGGGACTTACACCCAGTTCTTTCTAGACGCATAGGCTTCATGGGGCTGAGAAAAATCAGGCCTTATAGCTGGCTAACATATTCTCCTGACCCCAAGATCTTCCAGGCTTACACTGTTACATGTGGAGAAAAGAAAGCTGTGGATGAGCCAAGCCACTCATCAGGGGACAATCAGTCAAAGCTACTCCTCCTTTACAACTCCTAACCTAGTGATGAATTAACAACTTTATGTTGGTTGAACGATTCTCAAAGCTCCTCCTAACTTTATGAATTAATAATACTGTGTTAGATGCAAACGACAGCTTGTTATCTTCCTAAGCTGATGGCTCTAGTCTGATTTTCCTCATTGAATAATTACTAGTAGATCCTTGACATCCACAGATAGAGCACTGGCCAAGTTAAACATGCGTGGCTTATATTGTTAAATCTGCTCAGGCCTGATTTGGAAGTATGTGCTTCAAGCTTGGCAAGGAGGAGTGGGCCCCATGGCTCCCACAGGAAATGACAGACCCAAGGTGATTCCTCGGCTCCATTATCTCAAGTGCCTTGTTGTGGTCAGTGCTGCTGCACAGCCAACATTTCTTGTAGAGGGATGAACTCTATTTATCTGTGAAAGATCACCCCGAAAGGATGCCATCTGCCATAGAAGCAGCAAGAAAATGGAGCATGCCTGAGAAAGTCATGTTCTTAGCCAACACACTGAAGTTTGGCATGAGTCTATCAGTGGAATGTTAGCATTTGGCTACAGCTCAGCTTTACAAAGCTAGTGAGTGCATTATATACTCTACAGAAAAACAAAAATGTATACTCGGAATAGAGTCCAGCCCATTTACAAATTTCTCATTAAGTAACAGATAAAGATTTGGTGAAATGGACAGTATGGTTAATGTCTGGCATGAGGATAAACATAAGAAAGCAAGTAAATTATAATTCTCTCATTATTCTGTTGCCAAATGACACTTCCACTTTAGCAAGTAAAAGGAAATCTCTGCCATGTTTTGTCCATTTTGTGTAACCACATTATTGTTTGGGTACTTGGAGCTTATTTGTGTGATTTTGATGAGTAATATTCTATTGTTTTAACATTATTATTTTAAATTGAAAGTATTGCAACCTCTACAAAATTATCACGTAAGCAATGTAGGTAGTTCAGGATTTACATAATTCAAGAAAAACTTTTAAGCAGAAATTAAAGGTAAGTCATTTCCTTAGCATTTTTTTCTCTAATGTTTTGCAGAACATTCTTTCTTAGATAACTGCATTCACAACAGGACAAATATTTTAATTATCTCACTTGGTAACTTTCATTCCAAGATCTTTAAGTTTTACATATGTTCTTTAACATTAATGCTGGCAAATTCTATGGAAATTGCTTACATGATATTTTTGTAGCCTTTACAATACTTTCAATTTACAGTAATAATTGATTTTAAAACAATAGGCTATTACTCACCAAAATCACACAAGTAAGCTGCAAATACGCAAGCAATAGCGTGGTCATGCCAAATGAACAAAACATGGCAGAGATTCCCTTTTACTTGCTAAAGTGGAAGTGTCATTTGGCAATATAATACCAAGAAAATTATAATTTACTTGCTTCAACAGCTTTAAAATTACAGGACATTTGATGAACTTTTTTAAATTAGGAGAATTAACCTTATTTCAAATTTTAAAAGTAGGACTATTAATATTCTAACAGCCAAATCATTTTAAATTTTGTATGATTTAAATTTGCTTAATATGTAACATACTATATAACCCCCACTAACAGTGCAATTCTGTTTGGATCCTTAGTAATATATCCTGAATAGGGAGGCAAGGGCTCAGAGTGCACAAAATGTCTATAGAATCTACACTTACTGTAAGGGTAGATGGTGGTATGACCCATTCCAAGGGTTGTTTTATGATTCCAGAGTTGTACATGCTGTTGTCAAAGAGTGACATAACGCACTTTTAAGGGAAATTACTGTTTATAACTTAGTGAACAGCCTTCAGGGGTTTTCTCAGGACATGGAGGCATGCAAACATTTTATTATATAGGTTCTTTTGAAAAGGTAAGACTTTGACTCTAGAGCAGCAGGGAACTGGAGCAAGCAGGTTACCTCTTTTCAAAATTGCTACTGGTTTTCCTAATCAGCGCTTAACTGTTTTGATTTAGATACGCATCTGGGCCCGCAAAGATGCCATTGCAAGTGGAAATGCAGACTTTGCTTTGAACATCACAGGCCCCACCTTCTCTTTTCTGGAGGATTTGTTTAATATCAGTTACTCTCTTCCAAAAACAGGTGAGGCACTCTTTTCCTTTCAGTGCATTTGGTTTTCTGTTATTTGGGCCCTTGGTTGAGGCCTGGTGATACAGAGACAAACCCATAAGGATCCACTGTTGCTATTTAGCTGCTGTTTTGGAGTTAGCCTCCTGACCTATGTTTTACACCTTCAGAAACACACAGAGGCCCACCTCTCTACCTCTGTACAGAGCCATGTGCTCAGCAGCTGCTGAAGAGCTCTCAGACTTTTTAGGTCTCTCCTGGCTTCTCAGTGGCAGCCTCCCATCCCCTAGACACTGCTTCCTCTTTTGTGTTCGAGCCTTTTGTCTCATACTGCAAGTGTGCAATGCTCTGTCTGGATCATCTTAGCTAGCGGACTTTCAGAAGTTGCTACATTTCCCTTTAGTAAATTGTATTTTTTAAAATTAGTGGTCCTAACTGTGAATTTTCATTATATAAAATTGGAATCATATGTTAATATAATAGGATCCTTATGGAAATATGTAAATATTTAACCTCTCATAGATCTATGTGGTATGTCCTTAAAATTGCATAAGCCACTCAGCTCAAAGTTGTTCAATATTTTTTCTCTCTAACTTGAAAGTATCTTGTAAATATGTTTTGTTCCTCTGACATGTGAGTTGGAGACTTTGAAAAAGTATGCTCTGCCTATAGTGGCAGATAGTGGAAGAAGGTGGGGAGTAAATATTTGGGAGGTTGAACCTCCTGGGCCCCAGGAAGCCAGGGCCTCTGCAGCTCAATCATTCTGGCTAACGAGGAGTGGGAAATGAAGGAACAGAAACCAGCCTTGGCCCATTCAGAAATACTGGAGGCGACACCTATGATTTAGGGAGTTGGAGGCAGCAGGAGCTCAGGCATGGAGACCAAGCTCCTGGCATTTCTGGGGCTGGAGGCTCCCAAGATGTCCCTTATCTTGGCAAGAAGAGTTCTATTTGTATTTATGTAGATGAGAAGTGCAGAGTCATCCTTGATACCCTGTTCCCGCGAAGCACACCGTCAATCTAATTAGTCACCTCATCATCCCCTACATCCATCCACCCACTTACTTCTTCCTGTCCGCCAGTTCTCCCTAATTTTCATCATCATCTGCACCACAGCTGTCCTCTCATAGCTTCTCCACATTCCCTCCTGCCCCCTCCAAGCCATGCTTCATATGAAGCCAGAAGGATCTTTCCAGAGCAAATCTGATTATGTTACTATTCTCTTTAAAAACTCTGTGTGACCTCCCATTGGCCTGAGGGTTAAGTCCAAAGTCAGCGCCATGTCTTTATAATGGTGCATCTCTTACCAACCTCTCAGGGCTTTTGGCTCTTCCTGAGTGGGAAGGCTGCTTTAGCACTGTCTCTGCCCTCCTATGCGTTCACCTTCCTCTTGTCTCCTCCAGGCTCTTACACATGCAGTTTGCACATCCTGAAATGCCTTCTATCCACTGATTAATTCAATTCTATTTCTCAACTCAATACCCCCTCATCCAGGAAGCCTTCCCTGACTTCTTTTCTCCAACTTCCACAGCATCCTGCATATTTCTCCATCTGACCTCTTGATCAATTGGATTTTAATTGTCTTCCTCATTAGAACTTGGAGTTAGGATCTGAATCATTTTTTTCTTTGTGCCGCCAGAACCTATGGCAGTCAGGTGGTCAACAGTAAACTTTTGGGGGTATGGAGGAAATAAATATATGTGATTAGTTCAGTAATTCCACTTAAATTCTGACCAGATTATTAACTCCTGAACATCAGGGATACATTTTATACTTTCTCCATAAACTTCATAGCATCTCAACTGGTGCCACCCTATGAGCACCCACAGAAGGTGCTCAATCAAAACTTCATTTTTGTTGATAGGTGATTAAAATAAGGAATTCCTCTATTACTGGATTTTTAGGAGAAAGATAACTAATATTTCTTTTTTTTTATTTTGGGGATTTAAAAAATGTTTTAATTTTTAATTCTCATGGGTACATAATAGGTATATAAAGGTAGGGGACACATGCAATATATAATAATCGCATCCTGGAAAATGGAGTATCCATTCTCTCAAGCATTTATCCTTTGTATTATAAGCAATCCAGTTATACTGTCTTAGTTGTTTTTAAATGTACAATTAAATTATTGTTGACTGTAGTCACCCTGTGGAGCTATCAAATACTAGGTCTTATTCATTCTTTCTAATTTTTTTTTGAACCCATTAACCACCCCCAGTTCCCCCAAGCCCCCCGCTGCTTTTCCAGTCTCTGGTCACCATCCTTCTGCTCTTTATCTCCATGATTGGTTTGATTTTTAGATCTTTGGGGATTTTTTTTTCTTTAGGTTTGGAGTACACGTGCAGATCATGCAGGATTGTTGCATATTGCTTTAATTCTTTGTTGAATCACAAACAAAACAAGGCAAATGCCTCCCCTACCAGTATTTCCCACATATGCCGTACTCCTACCCTCAGAGAGTTTGGTGAAAAACTATTTGGTTTATTTCTCCTGTGTTGTTCTTTTAGCTTATTTTCTTGTAGCTTGCTCAATAAATTTTTACTTTAGAATCTAAGATTATATGAGTTGTGTTCATGTATCCCATAAATAGAACAGTATTTTTTCTCATGTTATTATCATTTTAATTCACTCTCAAGTCAAAAGTTAGATTCAATATCAAAATACTATAGAGACTGGTAGAGCTAGGTGTTTGGATTATTATTGTGCCAGTTGACACCTTTACCTGTAGGCTATGTGCCAGATTTTCTATTCCTATACCAAGACTAATTATTAGTCTACTATGTATTTTAAATATTGTCATATCATTTTAATTTTTGATTTTTGATAATTGATAAACATTTTAAATAAGATTTTTGGCTATTTGCAGTATTTCTTTGCTGCATTGTTCACCTTTCATTTTTTTTCCCTGTTTGAGTTCTATAAATATTAAAAAGTTGTCTAATTGCTTGTGGTATATGCTTTTATATTTTCCCCTAGATTATTGTTTGCCTTTCAGATTAGTTTATAGTATATTTTGGTGAACTAAAGTATTTATTTATTTTTATTTATGCATTTTTTGAGATGGCATCTCACTCACCCAGGCTGGAGTGCAGTGGTGCGATCTCCCCTCACTGCCTCAGGTTCAAGTTATTCTCCTGCCTCAGCCTCCTGAGTAGCCAGAATTACAGGTGTTCACTACCACGCCCAGCTAATTTTTCTATTTTTAGTAGAGACAGTGTTTCACCATATTGGCCAGGCTAGTTGAGTGGGCTGGTCTTGAACTCCTGACCTCAAGTGATTCACCCACCTAGGCCTCTCAAAGTGCCAAGATTATGCATAGAAGCCACCATGCCTGGCTAAAGCATTTAATTGAAATGGACTATTTTTAAAGAGCAGTTTTAGGTTACAGGAAGATTGTGCAAAAAATACAGAGTTCTCATATATTCTTTCTTTCCTTCCTTTTCCCCACTTTCTCCTGTTGCCAACATCTTGCATTAGTGTGCTACACTTATTACAGTATTGAAACATTATTATTAACTAACCTCCCCAGTTTATCTTAGGGTTCAGTTTTTGCATTGTACAGCTCTACGGGTTTTGGAAAGTGTGTAATGACCAGTATCCACCATTACAGTATCACACAGAATAGTTTCACTGCCATAAAAATCCCCTCTGCTCCATCTATTTATCTTCTTCTGCTTCCCCAGAATCCCTGACAACCACCAATCTGTTATTATCTTTATAGTTTTGCCTATTCCAGAATGTCATCTAGTTGTAATCACATAGTATGTAGCTTTTCCAGACCAGCTTCTTTTACTTAGCAACATGCACTTAAAGTTTTCCGTAGCTTTTCCTAGCATGATAAATCACTTCTCACCACTGAATAACACTCTGTTGTATTGGTGTACTACAGTTTGTTTATCCATTATCCTATTTCAGGGCATCTTGTTTGCTTCCATCTTTTAGTGATTATGAATAAAGCTTCTGTAAACATTTGTGTGCAGGTTTTTGGGTGGGCATAAGATTTCAGGTCATTTGGGTTAATTCCAAGGAATGTAATTGTCAGATCTTATGGTCAACCTATAGTGACTGTACCACTTTGCATCCCCATGAGCAATGAATGAAAGTTCCTGTTGGTCCACATCCTCATCAGCATTTGGTGTTGCCAGTGTTTTGCATTTTAGCCATTCTAGTAGGTATGTGGTAGTATCTCATTGTTTTAATTTACAATTCTCTATGACAATGGATGTTGAGCATCTTTTTATATGTGTATTTGCCATTTGTATATCTTCTTTAGTGAGGTGTATGTTCAAATCTTTTGCCCATTTTGTAGTTGGGTTGTTTGTTTACTTACTGCTGAGTTTTAAGCATTCTTTGTATATTTGACTACAGTCCTTTATCAAGAATATTTCATTTTAATATAGTCAAAATAATTTATTTGCTGGCTTTTGTCTTTGTTATTAGTCTTTAAAAAGCTTACTCTCCTTCAGGTTATAAATATTGCCTTGTATTTTTTGACAATTTTATGATTTCATTTTAAGAGATATATTTAGAAATTCCATTTTGGGGAAGAGATCATTTTATTTTTTCCTCCATTTAAATCCACTTAGATATAATTGCCTTGCCTAGTTTTGACAACCATGCAATGGAAAACTGGGGACTAATGGTATTTGATGAATCGGTATTGTTGCTGGAACCAAAAGATCAACTGACAGAAAAAAAGACTCTGATCGCCAACATTGTTTCCCACGAGATTGCACACCAGGCATGTGGTAAAATGTTCTTTTTATTTCATGTGAAGTTATTCTTCAGGTGCTCTACCAAAATAGCATAAAAACCTTAATAAGAACCTGCCATATACCACATTTTAAAAAGAAAAACACCCCAAAGTATGGCAGTGAGTAAAAACAGGGAAGACTCAGATTCTGGGTGGATTTGAGCTATTGGTGGCAGATCCTAGTGAGGTCTTACAGTTCTGCTGAGGGTTGGGTATCTACATCCAACAATTAACTTTGCTCCACAAAGTCTTCTTCAGGAAAAGTAACCCATGTAGACACAGGAGTATTTTTTTTTCATTTCACCTAAAATATGGGATATTCAAAAGTATCACTGAAAGATACCCTCATTTCATCAGCAGATTGTTATAAATTTCTACTTGTTGTTGTTGGAGAGAGGTTAAATGGATGCAGGTAACACATTAATTAGGTGGAAATAATTAGCCCTTGGTCTACATTCCCAATGGTGGCATAAATGACAATTCATTTCATCAGGTCTATTTGCTTTTGCATTGGGATTTTAGAAGTTTAGCTGTTTAATGTGATGATGAAGATTTTCATGTCTGCATTTCAGTGTCTGCTCCATTCATACGAGTTTGTTAAGAAAGAAATAATCTCAACTGTGTTATCTTAGTAATGTGGCTCCATAAGAAGTTTGGAAAAGCACAATTTACTAGGATTGAACAACACCCTGATGCACAGTAAAATACACATATTCACAAGTTTTATTAAGTCACCCAAAGTGTCATTTTTTTAGTATAGTCTAAGTGACACATTGTTTTGGAATACAGGCTGTTAGTAATTATAGCTGTTATAAGAATTTAGTTAAATACCAGGGCTTGGGTTTGTTAGTTTGGAAATCATTGTTTTTCTTTCCTAATCCTGTTCATCATCCATTTGACACTGATTTTTTTTTTTTTTCTGTTTAACTCAAACAGAAAATAATTACAGCTGAGCCATATTGCAAAACATATGATTACTTGAGTGATTTGTACATGGCACAGATCAAATTATAAAAGAATCTTAAAACATAACTGCTTAAAGTAAAATCCAGTTGCAACCTATTTAGAGTATAAGGAGCTAGAATTTGTAGGTGGTAAGTCAGCATTCAGGGCTTCTGTTTTATGGAGCTAAAAACAACTTTTGGGCCAAGTAGACAGTTTAAGAAATGCTATTATAACTGACCTTATGTTTAAACATTGCAGTTTTAAAACAAAAATTGCTTTCAGTCATTGGACATGGAATATTCCTGAGAAATGCATGACTAATATCTCATTATGTGAAAACAACAACGTGTTTTCTGGTGTCCTGTCTTCAAGTTTTGTTATTGATGGCAAATACATTTTAATTATGTCTTTTAAACTTACATTTATTTACAATTACAATGAATATTGTAATTACCATGAAGATAACTTAAAAATTAAATTTAAGAAAGCTCTTTTATTTTTCTCATTTCCAAAAGTGGTTTGGAAACTTGGTTACCATGAATTGGTGGAACAATGTCTGGCTCAAGGAGGGTTTCGCATCTTATTTTGAGTATGAAGTAATTAACTACTTTAATCCTAAATTCCCAAGAGTAAGTATGTTTATTAAATTTATTTAACATTTTTTTCCTAATTATAAAAGTAAGGCATATTGATTCTTAAAAATATATAAAATACAGAAAAATACAAGAAATGCTAAATTACCTGTAATACCGGAAATTATTTGTGATATCTTTTTGATATTTTTTATTCCAGGCTTTTAATCTACTGTAGATGTTTTTGAAAGTGGGAATTACATAAAAGTTTGTATTGCTTTTTCTACTTCGTATTCGACTTCATATTTCTATTTCATAATCATGAGCATTTCTACCAATCAATTATTAGATCTTTTTTAAAGAGAAGATTTTAAATGACTGCCGAATATTATTTTCACTTATTCCTACTATATCTATTCCTTATTCCTACTACATCTATAGTGTAGGTCTCACTCTGTCACCCAAGCTAGAGTGCAGTGGTGCAATCTTGACTTACTGCAGTCTCAACCTCCTGGTCTCAAGAAATCCTCCCACCTCAGCCTTCCGAGTAGCTGAGACTACAGGCGCATGCCACCATGCTCAAATAATTTTTGTATTTTTTGTAGAGATTGGGTTTCTCCATGTTGCCCAGACTGGTCTAAAACTCCTGGATTCAAGGGATCCACCAGCCTCAGCCTCCCAAAGTGCTGGGATTACAGGCATGAGCCACCACGCCCAACATAGACCGTATTTTAAAGTAGTGCAGTAGTGTATGACTTTTACGATAAGTAATATGCTACTTCACATTTAATATTATTACTGATATTGTTTTGCTAATTTGAGTAAATAGTAATATTGAAAAATAAATACATACATGTGCAAATCTAATTCTTTCAACTGTAGGTTTCACTTCTGATATTTAATTTATGTAGAGTAATTAGCTAGTGCTTTTAGAATGCCATGATAAAGCCAAATTGATTTAATTTAGATATTTAAATGTTTAGACTTCATGTTATCTTTTTTTTTTTTTTTTTTTTGAGACAAAGTCTTTCTCTCTTGCCCAAACTGAAGTGCAGTGGCGCGATCTCGTCTCACTGCAACCTCCACCTCCCTGGTTCAAGCTATTCTCCTGCCTCAGCCTCCCGAGGAGCTAGGACTACAGGCACATGCCACCATGCCCAGCTAATTTTTGTATTTTTAGTAGAGACAGGGTTTCACCATGTTGGCCACAATGGTCTCTTGACCTCATGATCTGCCTGCCTCGGGCTCCCAAAGTTCTGGGTTTACAGGAGTGAGTCATCATGCCCGGCCCATGTTATCTTTTGATATAAACCTCACTTCTTTTATAAACCAGCGGTCTTTTCTTGGTTTGCATCTTCTCCTCTCTTCTGTCTCCTGTAACCTCTCTGGTTCTCAGGATTGCTCTTTCCTGCCTTTCTTTGCCGGTCTCCATCTCATCTCAGTTCCCAGTTGTTCCAAGGCTAGATTATTCACCTCTTTTCTCTTTACCTTCACTCATTCAAAGGTTTATTAAAATTGAAATACTATCTCCACTTCTTGGATCTTCTTTACAGACTAAATCTATTCACTCTGAAGGAGATTCTCAGATGATGTTCTTTCTATTATTTTGGAAGTAAGCTTTCCTTCTTTTATGGAAGTTGATAATGGATGGTAGGTAGGTGGTACTTGTTTTGGTTGATAGTTTGGCAGGAAAAAAAGTTGACAAGCCTATCTTGGTGCCACAGAAACCTTTTTTAAAACCTCTTTTCATCTATTTGTGAAATCACAGCATCTGGGAAGCACTGATGTAGTGCAGGCTTTTAGCACCCAAATTCCATGCCACCTCGCCACCCTTGACAGGCATCCTGTAAGATGCCCCCAGCCCAGTCACTCTGCAGCGCCTCTCTCTTCCTCCCCCTGGACTGTGCACAGGCCCTTCTTGTCCTGGAGGAAATTTTGGACATCATTATATAGATCATCATTATATAGAAAGTTTGGACATCATTATATAGACTGAAGTACTAAAAGGTTAAATGACTCTAAATGACTTGCCCAAGGTAATTTGCCCAATTGGGACAGGACTGAGATTATAACCAGTTGTCTGGGTCTAGTCTGATGACAAGGATAATGATGGTAACAGCAATAATACTGTATTTACCATTCAATCAGGACTTAGAACTTAAGTGCCAGGCACTGTGAGCTCTATACATACATCATCTTACTCAGACGTCAAACCAACCATATGAGTGCTGTTGCTATTTCTGTTTTACAGGTGAGGAAACTGAGGTATAGAAGCATTAAGTAAGTTGCTCAAGGTCTCATAGTTATTAAATGTCAGAGCTGTGATTCAATTCCAGGTCACGTTGACAGTGAAGCCCATGCTTTTAACCACTGTGCTCTATAGCAAAAACACAATGGAGAGTTCTTATCCTCAAGAAGCTAATTGGCAGTTGGGGGAGAGAGGGAAAGGGAGAGGGTTTGTGTCTTCAATATATGATCGTATGTATATATATGTATATATATACACACAGTTTATCTACATATAGTATGTCTTTATTGTCTTAGCTGTTTTGAACAGTCCTTTCCACTTCCTCTATGCCTACAAAAGTGTTTGTATTTCTTTCATGGCTTTTATTCACTCATGGTTAGTGCCATCTATAAGTGCTTTTAAAAGCAGTTGGTTAGATCCTAAATTAACTCTGTGGATAGAATAAATAAGGGAAGAAGTTTAATTTCCATAAGACAATGAAATTTACCGTATTTTCTTAAGTAGATAGAATCCATCATGAACATCAATTTCAGTTACCTCTTATAACAACTAAAATGGTTTAAGTATTATCAGTATCTAGCAAAACTTCCCCAAAACATATTTCTGGTATTTTTTGAAGCTAAGATTTACAATGTTTGTCTCTTTTTGTGCCTTTTAATTATTTCCTTTTATTATTAGTTTCTTACCCATGTTTTCTACATCTCTTAGTTGCTCGTGGAGCTGAGTGAAAGCATCAGATCGTGGCGATTGAGGACATGCCATGATCTTTGTTTTTAAAAAGCTTAAGCTCTCCTTTCAATGATTTTTGGAGATCAAGAACCTTAACCTCTTTTTAATCTAGTAATATGATTGAAATTGAGTAACAGAGTCATAGACCCTTATGCAGAAACAGATTTTCAATTTTTTCTATTTCAAAGTCTAATTTCAGCTGAAAGTCAAAGTCACCAAAGCATGATATGAATGGCTTATGGTCAAGGGGTCAGAACATTAAGAAGGAAGGCTTTCTGGAATTCTGAAGCTCTAGCCCTCACATTGCCACTTAATGACTTTCCTCCATCTTTCTGCTGCCTGATCTAAGAAAGCAGCAGACTTGGTGAAGGGAAAAGGTACATATAGGCACTGTGGTCATCAGATATTGCTCTGCCTTTACTATGATCATAAGCTGAGACAAGCAGATGAACACCTCTGAACTTTAGTTCCTCACTCGTAAAATGGGTTTCTTGCAGTCATTCCGTAGATGGTAATGGCATTGCTAGGTACTGTTGAGACAACTACCATAAACTGAACATTAGTTTTATGTACTTATATAGAATTATTTATATTATCTCATTCAATCCTCAGGATAATTCTGAAGTATCATAATAAAAATAATGATAAGTAAACACAACAGTGGTTAATCCTTATTGAGCATGTCCTATTTGCTACCCATTGTGCTCAGAACATTATGTAAATTAATTTAGTTCTCATAATAATCCATTGAGGACATTGTTGTTTTACCATTTTCAGATGGCAACTGAGTTTCAGAGAGAGAAAATCGGTGGTCTTTGATGAGTCACATAACTCCTAAAGGGCTGAGGAAGAATTCACACACAGGCACCTAAACTCCAAATCCTGTGTTTTTAACCACCATAATATTCTCTACAAATTTATTACAATAAATAGTGTTATATTTCTAAGGATAAGAGCAGATTTTATGCTGTGTTTGGTGGCTCACACCTGTAATCCCAACACTTTGGGAGGCCAACGTGGGAGAATCTCTTAAGCTCAGGAGTTTAAGACCAGCCTGGGCAACATAGTGAAATCCCGTCTCTACTAAAAATTTTTAAAATTAGCTGGGCATGATGATGCACCCTTGTAGTCCCAGATACTCAGGAGGCTGAGGTGAGAGGATTGCTTGAGCCTAGGAAATGGAAGCTGCAGTGCACTCCAGCCTGAGCAACAAAGTGAGACTCTGTCTCCAAAAAAAAAAAGAAGGAAGAAATTTTAATAGGTCTTCTCTGGCATATCGCAGCTTGTGGGATAAAGTAATGGTGAATATATGGATTCATATTATCTAATCACTATATGCAGTATCTAGTTTTTTTGTTTTGTGTGTGTGTGTGTGTGTGTGTGTGTGTGTGTGTGTGTGTGTGTGTTTAAGCTGACATCATATTTTATATAATGTTTCCTTCCAACAGAACCAAAACAGTCTACGGACAGCATCACTTTATGGCAGGCCCAGAGTAGAAAGGCCTCTAGGATGTTGATGAAGAGGTGTTACCTCATTTATCAGTTACCTTATATGGTTATAGTGGTATCAAGAAGGTTACATAAAACCTTTACCAGGCAGCCAGAAGAAGGAAAGACAATCCATTCTAATGGGGTTAGGGAAGACCCACAAAATATGGAGAAGCTGTATGAACAAAAATGTTCATTAAAACTGGTCAAAATAGTAAAAAGCTGAAAGCAACTTAAATGTCTAGCTAATAAAAGGGAAGTTATTAAATCAATTATGGTCCATTGACCCAATGGGTTATTATGAAGCTGTGTATTTATATATTTTAAGATTTTTCTTTTGCAAAAGTTTCATCTGCTGTACTTTGAAAAGAAAAAAATCATCTGTGATTTGATCACCCTGTGATAATCACTGCTAAGTTTTGGTTTATTTCCTTTCGATTTATGTTTCTATTTTCCTTATAATGCAGCAGCCATTATAAGGGATAATTATAAAGATGAGGTAGCAAAATTTTAAAATGCTATAATATGAACAAGATAACAAGTTTTTACAACTGTGGGAATAAATAGCACTTAGGAAAAAAGATGGAAAAGAACTACACTAACATTTTAATGGTGGTGATCTTAGGGTGTGATATTATGGATGTTTTTTATTTTCTCTATTTTCCACATTGTGCTTATAGGTCACCAGTGAGACACTCTCAAGAAGCCTTGAGTGTTAAACTAATAAAATCCATGCTTACTGATAGGATCAGACCTACGCAGATGACTCCTCCAAATCCTTGCTACTCAGTGTGATTCTTAAACTAGCAACATCAGCATCATGGGGTAGTTTATTAGAAATATTAGATTCTTCTTCTGGCGTTACTTCAGGAAGAAATTGCTCTTATTTGTCTGAGAGAGAGAGCTGGTCTTTTGAAGAGTCCTATGGTTCTCATTAAAATATAATAAATTGCCTTCTCTTAATGCATGAGCCATAAACTGTAGTATCCAGTTTATGGATTTGTTTTCAATTTTCAATTACTACATCAGCATCTTTGTGAATTTGTAGATCTGGCATGCTTTTGGTTTGTAAATATTCATGAAAGAGAGACTGATTAATTTTAAGGAGTTATTGATAAAATTACCAATGAAATTTTAGAGAATTAAAACCACCTTAAGGAAGGCCTTGTTAGGAGAGCCATGGACCTCCCTATGGGAAATGCAGTGGCTTTGGGGAACCACATTAACTTTTGTAATTGACTTTGTAAAAATTGAAATGAAAAAGGATACAAATAAGAGGGAAAGTATCCTACAGTTTTGTTATTCAAGAAATTCTGACTTATTTGGCATATTTCAACTTCTCAGTTACTGAATTTTTTCCTCTCTTCAATATCAGTTTTTGAAAGTATTTTAGGACCATTGCAGTTTGTTTTTCTGTGACACCTCAGGAGTTAATGTGGCTCAATCTTTTCCTTTTATAGAATGAGGTCTTTTTTTCTAACATTTTACATCATGTCCTCAGAGAAGATCACGCCCTGGTGACTAGAGCTTTGGCCATGAAGGTGGAAAATTTCAAAACAAGTGAAATAGAGGAACTCTTTGACATATTTGTTTACAGCAAGGTAAAAGCAGTTAGAAATTTCCTTTGATTCTGTACTCTTGTAGAAAGTTGCATATAATGGATTCCAAGGGTCCTATATCAATATGCAAGTTAAAACTTTTTATCAAAATAACCTTATTTTAATTCAATTCATGGGATTCAGAAAACATGATTAAATTAATTCTTACCTTGCAAATATCAATCAAGCCCATGTTAATTAATGCTCAGTACCATTGACCATAGACTTTAACAACTTTCTACTTTCAAGGTGAACCCTTCTGCTTGGTGGAAATTTAATCTTGCCATGTAAAGATCTCAATTTTTTAATATTTTATGTACTCTACATGTGGGACATCTGCTTACCTTTTACCTCTCAATTAGTGACAGCCTACTATTTTATTAGCACATTTTGAAATAATTCAAACATTCAACTAAAAAGCAAAATGTGATCAGGAACACAGCTCAGAATATTGCTTATAAATATGGAATATGTCAGTATATGGATATTGAATTTTGTTCAAACAATGGACAACTTCTTTTGTCCTAGGGAGCGTCTATGGCCCAGATGCTTTCCAGTTTCTTGAACAAGCATTTATTTGTCAGTGCGCTCAAGGTGAGTTTGCAAAATAATTGTTGCCTGGATGGCAGTAAACATAAACTGCATTGGCATGTTATTTATTCTAACCTTAACTCTTTTATTTTTACAGTCATATTTGAAGACATTTTCCTACTCAAATGCTGAGCAAGATGATCTATGGAGACATTTTCAAATGGTGATTGTCCTACTTTCTGACACGTTCTTGCTGAGTTGGTTTGTATGATACAGGACAAGACTGGGAGGCCATAGGTGAATGGCAGTTCCATAGGAAAACAACTTTACCTTGTTATAGAACTGCCTTAGGTCATGGGTTGGGTCTTTAGTCTTCACTGTATTTCCAGTGCCCAGAACAGAGCATGGAACATGTTAGAACAAGAAATATGTGTTCAGAGAATGAATTAATGAACTAAAGAACCATTCCTATGTAGAGATAAACAGAGTTCTAAATTTGGCCCAGAAGATCACCCACCACAGGACTACTACATAAGTGAGGAAGAGAATAGCTACCAAGTTTCCTTTTGGAGATTGCTACTTCAAAACGTTTCACTGATAACCTTACCTGCTTTTGTGATGATTTTTTGAAACAGGCCATAGATGACCAGAGTACAGTTATTTTGCCAGCAACAATAAAAAACATAATGGACAGTTGGACACACCAGAGTGGTTTTCCAGTGATCACTTTAAATGTGTCTACTGGCATCATGAAACAGGAGCCATTTTATCTTGAAAAGGTTAAAAATCAGACTCTTCTAACCAACAAGTAGGTAGTTTTGCTCCTCTTTGTCTTCATCTTCCTTGGGTTGAGCTCTGGTCCAATGGGATCCAGCCTGTGGGTGGCGGAGCATTACCCCGACTTGGCACATACACTTCTGCAATATGACTATATACTGGGGCGAAGCAGAGACCCTGTGTCCTGGGCAATGCCGGAGACTTGAAGTTAGGGATTCAAGACAGTGCCCCTACCCTGAGATTTAGGGTTACATCAGCGCCAAAAGCTATGGGGTACTGTGTGTTCCTCTTCGTCCTTCAGACAGAGGTAATGAATTCCTTGGGATTCTGAGTGGGAGGCAATAAGATAGAGCCACAGATTGCCTTGTGTTAGTAAAGAGGAAAGGGAGTCTTGTTGCAGAGTAGTCTTCTCTTCCCTAGAAATGAAACTGAATGGTAACTATTTCCCTGAGGAAAATTCTGTATAGTTGTCTACATGTATGTGTGTGCATGCATGCGTTTGTGTATTTGTAGCCATACCCACACCATTAGAATTATGGTCTTTAGGGTCAATTAGACCTGGGCTCAAATATTGACTTCTCCAAAATTCAAACCTTAGTTATTATTTAAGCTCTGTGAATTTCTGTTGCCTTATCTATATAGATGCAATAGCATGTATTCCAAAAGATTGTGTAAAAATGAAATTAGTATAAAATAACCTAGCCTTTATCCCTTCATTCTTCTCTTCCCTTTCTTAATTTGTTAGCTGATTTTCAACTGTTTTTGATGGTTTTAATCTTCACATTTTATTGCAATATCAGCACAAATGAGTAATTAATTTTCAAATACCATCACCAAAATTTTCAGATATTTCTACTCTTTCTTTAAAGCCCCCAGAGGGAGAAATGGGAGACTCAAAGGTTCCTTTGCCCTGTAATACTCTGTGACTTTTGAGAAGATGAGTGTGTCTTAGCTATGTAGATAAATACAGACTCACCGTTGACAGTTTTGAAGACACCAGCCTTGTGGAAACTTAAGATTGGAAATATTGCCTAAACTCTGGGCAATATTCAGATAACAAATGTGCTTCCTGTGGTTGCCTACTTCATCCAGGTCACGTCCAGCAACGTGGGAAGAATGCAGGCATTCAATAAATATAAATGTTGTGACTGATTCCTGTTGAATACTTTTCAGATGGGGAGAACACTTGAAGTTGAAAGTATTTTGAAGTGTTAGTCAAGTGTTTTCTTCTAAACTACTTTTTACCTATCTGGGCATGGATTCAGTTAGATTGGGTTCTGTTTGCAGCATTTGAACTACCCTTGAGTGAAGCCAGGTGTCTATAATTCAACATACACAGGACTTGAAGGTTTCAGATATAAGAGAGTTTTAGTAGCTCCCTAAGTCATAAAAAGAAGTTAATCCGTAAAACACACAGGAGAGAGGAGTAAACAATAGCCAAAGTAAAACTGGCTTGTAAAAACAGCAGTGAATAATCCTAAGAACAAAGGCCTGCATATTCACACAGAATGACCAAACAATCTGAGTTCTGTGTGCTATTTCTTCATCTCTTTAATAGTGGCTTAGAGTGTCTGTTCTCATGTGCGAAAAGTAACTAAATTTTTTATTTTCTTCCAATAAGTGGCACGTGGATTGTCCCTATTCTTTGGATAAAAAATGGAACTACACAATCTTTAGTATGGCTAGATCAAAGCAGCAGTAAGTAACACATTTTTCAAACATCTTTACATATATGCGTATATAAAGGCAGAGAATAAAATATTGAAATGTCTAGCTTTTAAAAAGCTATCTCATTTCCTTTTTTTTGAGACTGAGTCTTGCCCTGTTGCCCAGGCTGGAGTGCAATGGTATGATCTCGGCTCACTGCAACCTCCACATCCCAGGTTCAAAGGTTCTCCTGCCTCAGCCTCCTGAGTAGCTGGGATTACAGGTGCACGCCACCATGCCCAACTAATTTTTGTATTGCTAGTAGAGGTGAGGTAGCACCATGTTGGTCAGGCTGGTCTCAAACTCTTGACCTCCCAAATTGCTGGGATTACAGGCGTAAGCCACCATGCTCAGCCGAAAAGCTATCTCATTTCATACTGAAATATCACTCTTGTCGAACATAGAGTTTTAAAGAAAAGTGTCAAATCAAAAGCCATTTTATGTGAAAAATATAGAATTACATGGTAAGAGCAATATATTTTCTAGAATTCCTTTAAATTTTTGTTTTATTGGTTTGTTTAGAATCAAATGTGTAGTATAAATTGGTATTAAAAAATCTTTTTAAAACGTACCATTTCAAATTATTCCCATATTCCTTTATAGAAGTATTCCCTGAAATGCGAGTTTCAGATTCTGACCATGACTGGGTGATTTTGAATTTGAATATGACTGGATATTATAGAGTTAATTATGATAAATTAGGTTGGAAGAAATTAAATCAACTACTTGAAAAGGATCCTAAGGTAAGGTTACTTTTGATACTTTTAATTAAATATAGTTTATAATGCCTACTCTAGTGTTTTAGAGGTTGAGCATTCTGGTGGGAAGACATTCCAACCCCATTCCTGCCCCTCATCTCCAGACATATGAAAGAGATGTTTTTTCTTGTTCTTAGCAAGTAGAGATTTTGATTAAATGTGTTGTGTTTTTGAACATTCATCTTACTTTTCCAAAACATTTCCAGGTTTTGGAAATCCAGGATGATGGATTCTATTCATCATTAGTTTTGTGATCTTTGGCAAGTTACTTAAATGTCCTGGTTCCATTTCTTCATTTTAAAATGAGAATATTATCATATTTTATTCATCATGAGGATTAGAGATGATGTAGGTAAAAGTATACTTAAAATTTCTAAACCCATAACAGGTACCCAGTAAATGTTAGAAAATATTAATTTTACTTATAAAATATATTTCCACTCTACCTCAAAAGAGAGAATTTAGTTCACAAAACAATAATAATAATCCAGTATCACTTTATATTATAAAATAAGTATAAGTAATTATGCAGTGTATAAACACTAAAATGTTGGCCAGCTCTAATCAATCAGATTTTAACTGATTAAACTAAAGTTCCATGAGCAGAGCTGGATGCTGGCTTAGGAGTCAGTACAGTTGGCTCTACTGTGACTTGCTGTGTACCTTTGGGTGGTTCATTTAGACTCCATTCACAAAACTTGAGTGTTGAACTAAAAGATGTCTCTATGTTAAGTGTCTCTGTGTTTGAAAGTTCTCTGAGACACACAGCAGTCTCTCTAGCATATTGGTTTAGAGCTTAGGTTCTGGGTCAGAAAGACTTGTGTTCATATTTTGTTCATTGTTTGCCAGAGGTATGGCACATTCAAGCCAAATCTCCCCTTTTTAAGAATATAGAAAAAAAAATCTCTTCAGTATGCCTGGAGGTGAGCGGGGTGGGAATGAAGGTGGACTCTCTTCCTAACAGAAAGATCAACCATTAAAAGGCTAGAGAAGGCATCCTGGTTGTACCTCAGTTTCTTATATGTGTACTAATGGGTATAATATACCAAACTTACAGATTAAATAAGATAATATATGTATTATGTTTAACAGAGGCCTGACACAATTCAGGGATTCATGACATGTTCAGTAATTAAAACAAATTATTGGGATTTTGAATAAAGCCACAAAGGCCACTTACAATAATATTTTCTTTCCAAATCTTTTCAGAGTGGCTAGTTATAACATTTCTAAAAGCATTCTAAGCCATGCAAGCATGAGGTTATACCATTATAGTAATTTCTTGAAACCACTGTAGATTTATTCATTGAAAAACAAAGGCAACTTATTTCTACAACATAATTGGTGAGCAAATAAAAGAGAATCTTCATGATTAATATTAATCGAGAAAATGTTAGTACTACCAGAGAAGAAATTAGACTATACCAGCTGAAGAATTAAACTTGACTTGCTCAGATGCTTAAAGAAATGTTGTGAAGATAAAGTCTTTGGACCAAATATATCACAGTGCTGAGAGTTGCTGAAGGTGTGATGCAGGAGGCCTTGGACACCCTTAGGGTCTGAGCTGAGAGCAGAGTCCGATGGCCTGGCAGTGCCAAGGAGTTCAAACAGAAGCCTAAAGAAGTACACTGGCAATTGGCCTCTGCTGTTTCATGGATATAAAGGGATCTGTTGGTGGCATTCTGTCACATTAGTAAAATCTTTAGATAAATACCATGTGAAAAAATATGGTACCTCAATGTTACCAAAATAGCACTAAATAATATTTATTTAAGGACCTCTATGCCAAAAACTTCCCTGAAACTAATTTGGATGTTGTAATACAATTTAATGTATACTTGTTTTGGACAGGTCTTCTAAATTTGGCTGCCTGTTTTATTTTTTAACATGGTGTGTTTCGGGAGTATTTTGGCAAAACTCTCTGCCCTATTTAAACTTTATAATTGATGTCCAGAGGGGTCATTTATTAAAAAAAAAAAAAAGTATGATAAATAAATTATGAGGTCTATCCTTAGTAATTATTGTTTCTCTGCAGATGAGATAATTCATGTGAAGGTGCTTTATAGGCAGCAGTAATCTCTAAATTATTGTTATTTTGAAAACTTTTTACTGAAAAATGTTCTCATCTTTTCCTGCACATATTTGGGTCTAATTCTGCAGGCTATTCCTATTATTCACAGACTGCAGTTGATTGATGACGCCTTTTTCTTGTCTAAGTGAGTATGTTTTCTTCTCTCACGGTTTTAGAATGTACCTTGAGACCTTTATAAAAATAATAGCCTCATCACTATGAATTTGATTATTTAGCATATATAGGCCTAACTTATTAAGATTAGGATGAAGTTCTATAGCTGCAGTGGAATTTTACAATTTAATAAGTTGCTGGAAATAAAAAGACTACCAGTTGAGATTTTGCAGTGATTTCTGTTATCCAAGGGTGATGGCTATAATTTTAATGCAATCTTGCCTGTATTTTAGTATATTGCAGAATTATTTATTTTATTTACATTAGATTTACTCAGTGTAAGATATGCTAAGTGTTTAACCAGGTAAGTTAATAAATGTTCAAAATTTAAAGTTTCAGCCAATAAAATTAAGAAATATATGTAATAAATTAGTATTTTTTCTCTTTCTTTGGCCAGCCATATGTCTTAAATAAATGTCTACTTATTTTATCCTTCTTTACTACTTTTTCTCTCTGTGAACTGCAGCACATTTCTTTGTCTAATACTTTGCTGAAAATCCAGTCCCTCTCTCTAAGATTACCGTAACTTTGATATTATTCACTATATCGTTCTGAAAATGTCGCTTTTGCTTCTTGAGACGGGACCTCCCGTATCTGACTCCTCTTCTACTGCTATGAGCTCTCTTAACACCAGTTGTAGTTATATTACTTTCTTCTGTCTTTCTTTTGATAACTCATTCACTCTTGGGTTTTGGTGATCATTTTATTGCGTATCTTTAGAGTGCCAGCAGATGTAAGATCCTCATTAAACGTTTGTGGAAGGACTTGTTGATGACTTACAAATCTACATTGCTACTTATCTTTCCACCTGCCTCAGGTTTATCATGTGGTCATCCAAATTCAGTGCTGTAAACACTGAACTTCATTTTTGCCTCTACCTTGCTCTTACTATCAATTTCTCTCTGCATGTTAAAGGTACTACTGTTCTTCTCATCACCCAAACTTGAAACCTCAGAAATATCCTTGATTCTTCTCTTTGCTTCATCTTACATGCACAGTCACCAAGTCCTATCTCTCCATTCTTGGAAATGTCTTTTGGAGGCTCACCTTACCACTTTCACTGCTTCCACACTAAGCCAAGCTTTCATCATCTCTTGCCTGGCCTATTAAATTAGACTCCAGCCTTCAGTCCTTTTGAATTTCATCTGTCTTCGTTAACACTACTGCAATAAAATTCTTAGACATCAATTTCGTTATGCTATTCCAATTGTTTAATGCCTAGAGTACCTTTCCACCTAATCTAAACTCTTCATCCTGACATGCAAGGATCTGAGCCAACTTACCTATTAGGCCCCATTTCTCACTATACACAAAGGAAATACCCTGCCTTAGCTTGGTCTGCCCATCATACTAATTCCCACCTTATCTTCTTTCTCCTGGGCTGCCTTCCTCTTTTTCTACCTATTTTAATCCTATGCATCCTTCTCTGCTTTTCTCAAGTTCCTTCTCTATGAAGCCTTCCCTGACTCTTCTCTCTTACCCGACTTTTCCATGTGCATATTTTTCTTCTTGGCTGTTTTATAGTATTCATTGCCTTTTCTGGGATCTTTCATTAGTAGCTTCTTATGCATAAGTCTCAGCTCTTCACTGAACCTTCTCAATGGTTTGCAAGGGCAGTGTCATATGTACTACAGGCATACCTAATTTTATTGGGCTTTGCTTTATTGCACTTCACAGATAATGCATGTGTTACAAATTGAAAATTTGTGGCAACGCTGAGTCAAGCAATTCTATCAGCATCATTTTCCAACAGCATGTGCTCATGTTATGTCTCTGGGTCACATTTTAGTAATTCTTAAAATATTTCAAACTTTTTTTCATTATTGCTATATCTGTTACAGTGATCTGTGATCAGGCTTTGTCAATGTTATAACTGTAATTGTTTTGGGATGCTATGAACCAAGCCTGTATAAGGCAGAAAACTTAATCAATAATTATGTGTGTTCTGACTGTTCTGCTGGCCAGCCATTCCTCCACCTCTCTCCCTCTTCTCTGGCCTTTCCATTCTCTGAGAAGCAGTAATATTGAAATTATGCCAATTAATAACCCTACCATGGCATTTAACGGTCCAAGTGAAAGGGGGAGTCATGCATCTTTCACCTTAAATAAAATCTAGAAATGATTAAGTTTAGTGAGGAAGACATGTTGAAACTGAGATAGGCCAAAACTAGGCCTTTTGCACCAAACAGCCAAATTGTAGATGTAAAGGATAAATTCTTGAAGGAAATTAAAAGTGCTACTCCAGTGAATACATGAATGGTAAAAAAAAAAAAAAAAAGTGAAGCAGCATTATTGCTGATATGGAGAAAATTTGAATGATTTGGATAAAAGATCAAACCACCCACAACATTCACTTAAACCAAAGCCTAATCCAGAGCTAGGTCCTCACTCTCTTCCACTTGATTAAGGCCAAGAGAGGTGAGGAAGGTGCAGGAAAAGGTGCTAGTTTAAAGCTAGGAGAGGCTGATTCATGAAGATTAAGAAGCCATCTCCATAACAAAAGTACAAGGTGAAGCAGCAAATGTTGATGTAGAAGTTATAGTACGTTATCCAGAAGATCTAGCTAAGATAATTGTTAAAATAGCTGCACCAAGCAATAGATTTTTAACATGAAACAGTCTTATATTGGAAGAAGATGCCCTCTAGGACTTTCATAGCTAGAGAGGACAAGTCAATGCTTGTCTTCAAAGTTTCAAAGGACAGGCTGACTCCCTTGTTAGGGGCTAATGCAGCTGGTAGCTTTAAGTTGAAGCCAGTGCTCATTTACCATTCTGTAAATCCTAGGGTCCTTAAACATTATGCTACATCAACTCTGCTTGTGTTCTGTACATGGAACAACAAAGCCTGGATGACAGCACATCTGTTTACAGTATGGTTTGCTGAATATTTTAAGCCCATTGCTGAGATCTACTGCTCAGGAAAGAAAAGATTCTTTCCAAAGTATCACTGCTCGTTGACGATGCACTTGGTTACACAAGCACTATAATGGAGATGTACAAGGAGATTAATGTTGTTTTCATGCCTACTAACACAACATCAATTCTTCAGCCCACAGATCAAGGAGTAATTTCTACTTTTAAATCTTATTATTTAAGAAATACATTTCATAAAGCTATAGCTTTCATAGATAATGATTCCTCTGATGAATCTGGCCAAAGTAAATTGAAAATCTCTGGAAAGAATTCATCATTCCAAATGCCATTATGAATATTTGTGATACATGAAAGGAGGTAAAAAAAAAATCGGTATAAATAGGGGTTTTGAAGAAGCTTTCCATCCTCATTGATGACTTCAAGAGGTTAAGATTTAAGCAGAGGAAGTCACTTCAGGTATGGTGGAAATAGCAATAGAACTAAAATTAGAAGTGGAGCCTGAAGATGCAACTGAATTGCTGCAATCTCATCATAAAACTTGAATAGAGGTGAAGTTGCTTCTTATGAATGAGCAAGAAAAGTGATTTCTTGAGAAGGAATCTAATCCTGGTGAAGACGCTATGACCATTGCTGAAATGACAACAGAGGATTGAGAATATTATGTATACTTCGTTGTTAAAGCAGCAGCAGGGTGTGTGAGAGGATTGACTCCAATTTTGAAAGAAGTTCTGCTGTGGATAAAATACTATTAAACAGCATCACGTATTACAGAGAAATCTTTTGTGAAAGGGAATTGAGCAATGTGGCAAACTTTATTGTTGCTTATTTTAAGAAATTGCCGTAGCCACCCCAGCCTTCAGCAACCACCACACTGATCAGTTAGCAGCCAAGGTTACAACTTGCTGAAGGCTCAGATTGTTGTTAGCATTTGTCGACTATAAACTACTCTTAAATTAAGATGTGTAAAACTGTTTTTCCCTGATATAATGCCATTGCACACTTAATAGACTACAGTATAGTGTAAACATAACTTTTATATGCACTGGAAAAATCAAAAAAATCATATGAATTCCTTTATTATGATATTTGTTTTATTGTGGTGGTCTGGAACAGAATCCGCCATATCTCTGAGGTTTGCCTGCAGTTGATGTGCACATAAGTAGCTGGCAGAGCATTAGATAGAGAATTACTTCAAATTAATACTTGTTGAGTGCAAATTATACTCTCATAAGAATGCATACTAAATGCATAACTCTTCTATTTCCTAATAATCAGTCCAACATTTGGCCTGAATATTCTCTAGTCTTCAAGACTTTGGACACGTTAAAGTACCAAATTGAAATGGAGGGCTTGTCAACTTTGCTTCGGTTTCATCTTTTCTATAAGATGAGACGCTTACCTTCTTGTTCTTGACTTACTCACATGCTTTATTGAAGTCAGGCATTGAAACATGGAATAAATGTCAAACGCTTACTCACATGCCTTATTGAAGTCAGGCATTGAAACATGGAATAAATGTCAAATGCATGCCAATTATTTAGCAAGTGAAGGTTTTTTGAGTGTGTGTGTTTTTAAATCAAACAGAAACAATTATATTGAGATTGAAACAGCACTTGAGTTAACCAAATACCTTGCTGAAGAAGACGAAATCATAGTATGGCATACAGTCTTGGTAAACTTGGTAACCAAGGATCTTGTTTCTGATGTGAAGAACTCTGATCTATATCCGTTATTAAAGGTAATTTCATCTTTCTTATGTAGTTTTTAAACAAATCCTTTCTTCTTCTTTTCATATTGTAGCCAGCATCCGTAAGACAGGTCTTTTCCATTGTTAAGAAAGTAAATGTACATTTATTTTATAAAGAAAATAAATATATAAATAAAAATATACTTTTAAATTATATATATATATATATATATATATATATGCTTTTTTTTTTTCTTGACAATGGCTGATTGTTCTTGGAAGAAAAAACCTTAGTCTAGACCTGGTCTAGGAGATGAGTGACGATTGGAAGGGTACTTCATTCTTGGTGAAGTGAGGGTGTCCTAAGAAACCAGAAGTGGATGGAAATGGTATGCCCAGTTTTTTTTAGGAAAAAGGATAATATTTATTAGCAACTATTTTCCTAAGAGATTGTTAGGCAAACAGAATGACTTTTAACAACTCTGTGTTTAAAATTGCAGTATTCTTATCCATAGCAATAGCACTTAAAACCAGAGAGATATATTCTAGAAAATGTAAAAATATGAAGATGCTTTTGATGTTAGGAAAAGAAAGGGGGAAATTAGAATTAGTGAACAGAGAAATGACATACCATCATAAATGAAAATATATATTATCCATTGTTAGGTCTTAAACAGTAATTATAGGAGAAAATGGCAATGATAAAATCAATGCAAAAGTTAAGGAGCCCTCTTTGGGGAATTAGGAGTCACACAAACCAAAAAGTATGTTAGGTGATGATTTCAAGTGAATTTCTAGGTTATTCTGAGGGTGAGATTGCAAATACCTCTTACAGTTCCAGATTTTCTTTTTCCTAATAATCAAAGTACCTGTGGGAATTTAGTTGATCTTGAGATGGTAATTAATAAAAGAAGGCACTGAAATTTTGGTGGGATTGAGGGAGCTCATTGATGACATCTGATGACCTGTTCTGGGTAAAGAAGTGTAACTACTATTTGTTTTTAAAGAATTTCACTGAGCAGCATCTAGTTAATTCTTAGGGATTTATTAATAAATGTATAACTTTTGTAATTTTATATTTACCATCTGATAGCTTAGTTGGAGAAACTTTATTTCAGAATCAGGGCTTCTTGACATTTCTTCTCTGTTTTGAACATAATTGGAAATGTATCAGATGATGTTAAGCGATAATAGTAGCTGATTTTTTTGAGTTCTTGCTTTGTGTCAGGCAATGTGCTTGCAATATATTATTTAATCATCACAATACACTGTAACATTGGTATTATGGTAAACCACATTTTATGTAAAACGGAACTAAACCCAAAGATGTAAAAAATAAACAAGTTACATATTTAGTAACAGATAATTTCTGAAGAAATATCTGCCACTCCTCTATCAATATCTTTTCAGATAAATAAATAGGAACATAGTGAAAATTCAGTTTTGCAAGCCAGAACTAACAATGTATTTTCTTTGTTGTTTATAGAAGTACCTATTAAAGAGACTTAATTCAATATGGAATATTTATGTAACTATAATTCGTGAAAATGTGTTGGTATTACAAGATGACTACTTAGCTCTGTAAGTATATTTTAAGAAATGGTAATTGAATAAAATACATTCATATTAATAGGCTTCCAGAAGTCATAAAATAAAATCTTCATATCCGTTATTCATTGAGAGATTTTGTATGCTATTAGTATTTGAGAACAATAGCTCAGAGATTGGTGGGCTACATGTATTCTAAGAGAAGATGGTCAATTTGAGATCTTAATTTACCTGCAAAGCACATGCATGTACACACAGGAGCTTATAGCTCTGTATTCTCAAAGCTTAGACTACTGGTTGAAATCATAAATGTGTCCTACTATTGGTGAAGATGTGCTCAGCAAAGCTTGCCTATACCAGTGAGTTGATGGGATGGAAAAGCCATGGGGGAAAGGGTCCCCGCTGTACATTGTTGTTAACAGAAATCCTGTCATTATGCAGATAAGATGAGGTAGGTAGACAGTGATATAGATCAGTTATTGGTGTGTGAGCATGAGTTAATATCACAAATGACTTTCATATTACTGGTTGGGTGAGGAGAGTAAGCATGTTGTCATGGTGGTCTGGGAAGGAGGCAAGAGGCAAAATGGAGTGGTAGTATTTCTGTCTTTCTTGTGCCCTAAGTTTTGCGTGTAGGATGGTCTCTAGATTTAGGGAGGGACTCTGTAGCCAATAACAGTACGGGGATTATACCTACAACTTCTGGTCAAGTTCAAACCAATTAGACCAAGCAAGAAAAACAAAATATACAAAGTATGATTGTTCTCTCTCAATAGTACTCTTCTGAGAGGGCCAAAATTTTAGTGCTAAGGGATGTGACTGGAAGGACATAGAATGGAATGGATGAGTAGGGGTACAATGGTAAGGACTAGCTAGGATCGAGAGTGGATAGGCAATTTGTATGAGTGAATGCGAAAGCAGTGTGCTCAATCAGACAGCACATTTGTTAACTAGACATATCCTTGGCTCTCCTAAATTAGACTGAAGTGGCCTACTTTTAATAGCATCCCAGGGCCAGTTCTCTTCAGAGCAGCCCTGGGGAGTTGGACTGCACTTCCATAGAACTCCAGCTTGTTGCCACCAGTTTGGGATTGGGATGGGTGGGGTCAGGGAGTGAGTACACATGTAGATGAATGCCTAGAGCTCTCAGAGGGCCTCCAGCCTTGGACATTCCTCTTTAGTTTATCAGAAGGTCATGTCAGGCTGGGTTGAAACTGGAGGATGGAGTAACAGAAATCTGGCTCTTGCATTTTCTGGAAACTTAAGGCCGATTTGCGTTTCTTTACCCTTACCCCAAACCTGGAGTAGGGACCACAAGGCATCACTTACCTGGATTTATTACTGGTCTTCACTGTATTCTTTTGAACTTATTTTGTTTTGAAGTACAATGTATTCCCCTTCTCAGCTGTAAAAACCAACGAAACCAACCAAACACTGTTATTCTTTTTCTTTATTCTTTTAACATGTACATAACAGTCAGGGGGAGTAGAAGAAACACCAAAACAAGAGAAAACAAATTGTAGAAGGGGAGAAATGAACTATGCCCTTTCCCTTTCTTGTATAGAGAAAGAACTTTATTTTAAAGTCTGTTAGATTAGATACTCTAAAATCATTTTTTTATCCATAAGGGAATTCTAGTAAAAGGGAGGAAAAATAAATTGACAACAGCTGTGGAGCCTGGGTACACCCATGTGTGCTTGAGGGAGATGAAGGATGGCAGCAATTTGTTTCTAGCTTTCAGAAAGTACTAGTCTTAGAAACTTTTTTTGGTGCCTAAGAGCCTCTCAGGAACTATTTCTATGAATCTTAAATACATCTGTCATCCACAAAAGCAATTTTTTTAAACAAACTTGATGTCATTGAAAAGATATTTAGAAATACCCATCCTTTTATAAAACACACATTCTTGGAGGCAGAGAAAATGAAGGTGGTAATGCAAAATAAACTGTTTTTCTTTGACTTTTTCTTCAAGAATATCACTGGAAAAACTTTTTGGAACTGTGTGTTGGTTGGGCCTTGAAGACTGTCTTCAGCTGTCAAAAGAACTCTTTGCAAAATGGGTGGACCATCCAGAAAATGAGTAAGAGTAATATAATTCCTTACATTTTTGTCCTTGTATTTTAGCCCGAGCAATTTCCCTTTTTGGTGTACTCACTGTGGGAATGAGTGTTTTGCCTTCACTTGGCTAAGCGCTTTCTCCTACTATTCTTTTAAAATACCTTTTTTAAAAAACCAGTGTTTAATGTGGGTGTGTGTATAACAACAGGTTAGAATTTATACAATGAATCATCACCCAGGACCTCTCATTCCCAGTGCATTCTTCCAATAAGCACTTACTTTTAGCTTTCTATGCTTGTTTTGAGTCTTAATAGGTTGTTTTTTCATGATTTTTATATCTGAGAGTGCAGCAGAGCACCTCTCTCTCTCTCCATCTCTCTCTTAGTTTGTTGCCTCACTGAGTGCTGACACTAACTCCCCTTTTGGTTTTGTCAGCTTTAATATACCAACTCAGATGTACTCTTAGGAAATGTGATAATGAGCTACAAGACCAAACTGTATTATCAATATACACTATACTACTCTAATTTACTTCTTTCTTAAAGCTCCTTAGTTTGGAATTTGATGATCTCTTCTCATGGAATTAATGCTAATGACAGTTTTGACAATTGCCTCTCTAGATCCCTACTTTTGAACTTTATCTGTGTCTTCAAAGACTTTTTCTAGATTTATACTTCTAAAATATGGTAACCTGGATCAACATATAACTTAACTGCTATGAAAAATAACATTGTATGTTATATCTTACAGAATACTTTATCCAATTAAAGAAGTGGTTTTATGTTATGGCATTGCCTTGGGAAGTGATAAAGAGTGGGACATCTTGTTAAATATTTACACTAATACAACAAAGGAAGAAGAAAAGTTTCAACTTGTTTATGCAATGAGCTGCAGCAAAGACCCATGGATACTTAACAGGTGATTATGGCCAGCTTACCTTGAAAGTTTCTGCTGGAGGAATGAAATTAATAAACTAAAGGGAAAAAATAGAAATGTGCTCATGTAAGTATTAAAATGATGCATATTTGTACCTCACTACCTTAGAACCGTGGGATTTTATCTCATTTATTTAAACTAACTCTTTATGTTGGATGTTTAAAATGTATTTTCTACACATGCGCTTTTGCAGATATATGGAGTATGCTATCAGCGCATCCCCATTCACTTCTAATGAAACAAATATAATTGAGGTTGTGGCAGCATCTGACATTGGCTGGTACGTGGCAAAAGACTTCTTAGTCAACAACTGGAAAGCTGTGAGTAAAAGGTAAGAAGGAAAGTGAGACCTTTCTTTCATTTAGGTCACTGGTTTGGTGGTGGAAGCTCAGTTTTAGTCTAGCTAGGTCACAAAAGTCCTTTGCATTGACTAGAAAAGTGATCATGTTTCCTGTGTTTAGTCTCACTACAAACTGCCTGTGTTATGGAAGAGCAATGCATGAACTTTTAACTATGGCTTGAATATTATAGTTGACAAAATGAGGATGCCTATTCTACTTGGTATATTCACCTTAGTTCACTTCTCTTGCACATTCTGCTACAAAATGAGTTTCAGACTCAAATTAATTTGCATTCTACATCTTATGCATTTATTTTTAGGGCTTAATTTATATTCAGCAGTCTTGCTCAATTTTGCTAATAGTTTTGTTTGAATAGACAATAACATGATTTATGAATTGTTGGAAATAAAATTTCAACTTAATAATTACAATTTTATACTCAAAATGGCACAGGAATACTTAGTTTTTTGCATATCTAAATATTTAATTATCACTAAACAGACATATTTGACATGATAATACGTATGTCACTAGTCCTCATGTAATGATGAAGATAGTATAAAATTATAAGTAAAAAATGCTTATGCCAAATTAAATTTTATATTAAAATGTAGAAAGTATTTGTACTGAATTTGCTAAAATGTGACTGAGCACTAACGAGTTTTTCTCAAGCACATCCTAGTGGATGCTACTCATGAAGATGGGGATGATAAGCCTTCTGGGACAGACAGAGACAATAGCTCAATCAGTTTCGAAACTGTTTTAACCCTCACTTTTGCAAACTCACAGTGAATTTTAGCATTATAAAGTCTCCAAGAAGCCCTGCAGAAGGAAACCTAGAGTTTTCCATACAGTTTGACTACATAGCATCTTCTAGGTATAGTTCTTCTAAACTCCAGCTTGGGATATGCTGATGTAAACAAAGTGTAATTTTGCCAGCAGAGTAATCGTTCCAGAAGAAACACAGACAGGAGAAACAAAATTTTCCAACCTACTCATTTGGAACTGGAACTAAAAAACTCCTTCGTTAACATTTAGGTCTTGGTTTCTTCTAGATGTATTTGATAAATTCTAAGATTCTTCCTGGTAATAAAACGTTTTAGTTTTTCTACGTCAAGGTGCAGTTCAAATTGTTATTGGGGATGTAAAGGGATTAGGACTTGGTATCTGATAAATGCTGTGGAGGAGAGATGGCAAGGGCTTTGGGGGTTTAAGTGGAAGAAAGGGAGGTGAGTGTGATTTGAACAAGCACAATTGCAAATCTCCTCCTTTTACCTGGAGGACCTAACACCAGGAAATACCTGGAGGCAGAGCTGGGAGGTCAACTTGGGACTAATTAAAGTGACTGGCTGGAGCTTAGAGCACTGGAGAGGAGATAGGAGTTGGGAAAGTAAGTTGAGGGTCAGGCATCATCTCCACACCGAGGCACATGTTGGAATTGAGTACATCATCGATAGCAGTGCAGGAACCTCTGGTCCTTTCAGTCAGGCCCAGAATTCTTCCCAGGAAGCCTACTCTGGAAATACATTTTGAAATATTTGATTGAATAAAACAACTTTTGGCTTGATCTTTATCCCTACTCTCATAGACAGAGCATTACACTGGTTGCTGTGGGAAAATTTAGTTAATTATTGGGCCAAAGATGATCTCTTGAATACTTATTCCAATGAGAAAGACTCCATTGGTCATAAAGCTATCTTTCAAGTTACAGAAAAGTCAATAGGTACACACAGCTATGAATAGATCCTATCTATGTAAATAGGGATGGAGCAATAGTTTTTTTGTGACTTCATTGGTTGTGGTAGAAGCGTTATTTGTGCCTTTATCATCTCTTAAATGGGCTTCACAGCATACAGAAAAACCATAGTTTAATTTGAATTTAGAATACAGAGCATGATCAGTTTTAAACTCAACCTGTTCAAAATGAATCTTACCTTCTTCATTCACTAAGCATTTGATTTTTTTTCTCCACATATTATTATATTCCCTAAAGTCTTAAGCTTAAAAATTTAAGCTTAAAAACATTTTCACTTCTACTTGGTTGTATTTCATGATGGGGAACACAGCTGAAAAGGCTAAACAGAAGCACAGCAAGGTGAGAGGTTATCAGAGCGGAGAGTCCAAGCACTGGGGGGCCTGTTCCCATGGCGTGGATCAGGCCAGATGCCTTGGTGTACCCATGCTTGACTCATGGCCATCCTTTCCACAAGGAATCAGACACAGTAGGGGAGATGAAGGGATGGGAAATGTGAGAAGGGGGAGAGGTAGAAGGGTGAGCCATACTGGAGTACCCAAATCACTGTTCCCACACTAACATTAGATGTTATCAAATTTTTAAAAAGGATTACTATATTGACACATATTGGCTTTTAACTTTATATTAATTAGAATGTATTTGAACACTGATGGGGGTAAACTATGTGAAATGCAGTTTTGTTGAGTCATATTTGAAAGAGATTACTCTCTCAACAAGAATGATAAATCATCTCTGTTTCGAAAATAACTCCTCTTGAAGTTGACAAGAGCAGGAAGAAATGAAGTGTGCCAGGTAATCTAATACATGCTTCCACATACATTATCTCATTTACGCTCCAGAGCAACGCTCCTAAGGATCTGTTATTCTCCATTTTTACAATGTATTAATTGTCCAAGGTAATATCAAACCCAGCCCTGCCTCCTTGGGTAACCTTTCTCCTGTGTCTGGCAGAAAATCACACATTTAGCACCAAAGATAGGTTTCCTCTATTTTCTATTTTATTTAATTTGAGACAGAGTTTTGCTCTTGTTGCCCAGGCTGGAGTGTAATGGGGCAATATCAGCTCACTGCAGCCTCAGCCTCCCAGGTTCAAGCGATTCTTCTGCCTCAGCCTCTGGAGTAGCTGGGATTACAGGCATGTGCCACTACGCCCAGCTAATTTTGTATTTGTAGTAGAGATAGAGTCTCTCCATGTTGGTCAGGCTGGTCTCGAACGCCCAACCTCATGCAATCCGACCACCTTGGCCTCCCAAAGTGCTGGGGTTACAGGCGTGAGCCACCACACGGGGGCTTTATTTTTCTTTTTAAGATTGGAATCTGGGTTCTTAGAAACTCAAATTTCTTGAGTCATTTTATAGGCTTTTTCTGCCTGGCTGGCCAATTATAATAGAGAACTAAGAAATATTCCTCTTTCTTCATAGAAACAGTTTTGCTTGCCTAAAGTATATGCAGAATTATATTGTTCTTTACTTTGCTCAGGTAGACACAGTGTAAGTTACGGCTAGGAACTTGGAAAAACAGCAGCACTATTTTCTCTCATCTTTATTAATATATTATACCAAAGTTAACTCTCATAATTTTTAATTTCAAGTAGAAATTTTTGAAGGAAATCAATTGTATATATTAACTATTCAACCATCTCTTGGTCAGTCCATTATAATAACCCTATTTTAATTTTTCTTTCTTTTTTAATGCACCCAAAAGTCTTTTATATACTTTTTTAACTACAGCCACACTTTGAGCAGGTAAGTATCTCCTGTTTTTTCATAGCAATACTTCACTGCTATTTTAAGATTTTTTTTTGCTGGATATTCAAGGACAGTAACCTGGAGGGGAAGTTTCCATTACTGTGCCTATTGAAACAAGCACAGGTAGAGCCATGGTGCTCAGCCTTCAGGATCACCAACATTTAGAGAACATCAGAAGACATGAATCCTCTCTCCAAAAGAGCATATATAAATGCAGCATTTTAAATACACATTCCGGGGTTTTAGTCAGCAGTTCTGAAATTGATCCTCCATTAACTACTGTTTTTTTAAGGGGTATAATTTACATATTTATTTATTCCCTTACAAATTGTATTGATTTGAACATGTGACATGTATTCCAACTACCTCATTTTAAAAGATAATGGTTGTTTCTAAGAAGAGCTTGTTAGATTTAAATAATAGATTTGTGTAATACATATAAGTATTTAACTATAATATTTCCTTAGTGTTAATAGGATTTTCTATTAAAAGATGAAGCTAAACTAGTTCATACACGTTTTTACTTAGCTTTGGAAGATAGGAATTAATAGGGGCTGTACACTTGGCATGCATCTGCTATCTAAAATATAGCTTTATCTTGCAAAACCCTTTCCACCCTTGATTAACATTTATTGCCTTGTAGGTATGGAACACAATCATTGATTAATCTAATATATACAATAGGGAGAGCCATAACTACAGATATACAGATTGAGGAGGTAAGTACTTTAAATATTATGAAATACAGTGATAATTTGGAAACCACTTTTTATGCAATTTGGACTTGCTAAAATTAAAAATAATATGCTTATCTGAATCATTACATTCTATGCTTCTATTGGTGCTGTATCACTGTGAGAGAAGAGTTTTTAATTGTATCCTGCTTCTGAAATAGAGATCACCTGTTCTTGGAGGGTGGCATTTCATCCTTTCTCACCTGAATTACTGTAGTGGACTCTGGCCCGGGGTTCCCGTCACAAACTGCGCTTCCCTCCATCCCACCTTTGCCGTCACTTCCAGTCATTGCCCTGTTCCAAAGCTTCAGTAGCTTTTCATAGTTTTTCGAAGAAATTTTGAAATCTTGTGATTAGCACATGAGGCCCTTCATGATCTGGCCTTGCCTTACAGTTTGTCTTCATTTTGCTCACATCACCGCCAAGTGTCAGAGAGCAAGAGAGATGGACAGACACCCCTAAACACTTTTCCTCTACCTATACTGTATCACTTACAAATTTTCTTGAATTATTGCATTGCTTCACATTTTCTGGATTTCAAAAACACCCTACCTTCTGTCAGGAGAACGCTCCTCATCCCTGTTCCTCACTGGATAATTCCTAATCATCCTTTAAGATGCTGTGCCTACCACCTATTCTAGGAACTTTTTAATGAACCTATTTATACCCTCTTCTCACCCATGCTTTCAAGTCATCCTATGAATATATTTTTACCATAGTGCTTATTACACTATAGTGTAATCGCTGGTAAATATGTCTACCCCATGAGACTATAATGAGTTCCCTGAGGACTGAGATCATATCTTAGTTTTGTCTATTCTAGATTCTTACCATTTCCTGGCTTTGCTGTTCTCTAGGCTAAATATTTATTAGGCAGTCTTTTTCCATGTGAAGAGAAGCACAGCTCCCCGCTTACGTAATCTTTAGCACTCTCAGTTGCAGAAGGAAGGATAGTTTCTCAGAGCTTCAGGAGTTCCAGCCCTGGTAAAAAGCACTTTGGTTGGTCCTACTTGGGTCAGAAGCAGCAATCGCTGTGTCCGGGGAAGATGGAATACTCTGATTGGTCTAGCCAGAGTCATGTGGCCACACTAGGCAACAGCCCCACCCAAGTCACAGGCACTGGGAAGGGGAAGGGGTACTTCCGAAAGGCAAAAGGGGCGTAACCAGAAGGTAAACAAAGCTGGCAAAAGCAGATGTCTACAAAAAGATGCATTTACACAAAGTAAAACAAGAATACAATATAAATACAACCTCTACACACCCAGTAGCATAGGTAAAATTAGAAAGAGTTATGGTACCAAACGGTGGCAAAGATATGGAGCAACTGGGACTCTTTTATACAGCAGAGAGGAATGTAACATGGCACGACCATGTCAGAAAAGAGGCAGTTTTTAAAAAATATTAACTGGAAACCATCTAAATGCCCATCCATAGGTGAATGAATAAGGAAAAGTAATATATCCACACAATGGAATAATACTACGGTGAAATGTTAAAATTTGTGTAGCAACATGGATGAATATCAAGGAGACTCTGTTTAGTAACAGAAGCAAGTCACATTCTGTGGAATGCAAATGGATCTATAGTGACAAAGGGCAGATCAGTGGTTGCCTGGGACAGAGAGCGATGAACTGCAATAGGGCCTGAGGACCCGTTTGCGGGGTAGAGGAAATGTAGTGGATTGTGGCTGTAGTTTAAAAGGGGTACACATTGGTCAAAATTCATGGACGTGTCCGGTTCAAGTAGATCTAGTTTATTGTACATAAATTAAATCCCAGTAACACTGATTAACATTAAACACCACGGCCTGAAACTATGTTAATAAGAACAAGAAGAGTCTGTGTAAATAAATGTAAATCAACTCTCTCTAAGCAAATAAACAAATACATGTGTAGGTCATAAAGGCCTGAAATTTGATTCTAAGCAAAAAAAAAAAAAAAAAAAAAAAAAAAAAAAAAAAAAAAAAAAAAATTATTTAAAAAAAAAAAAAAAAAAAAAAAAAAAGGAGACGTTGACAGTCATATCATTGTGATTATGAGAGAATAATTGTTAATTCCTGAAGAAACTATCATTTTTTGAGTTTTGGCCTGCCTGAGGCTGAGCTGTCAGGACCTGATTTATCAGGGATTCCCTGGACAAGGGAAAGAAAAGCGCACCACACCCAGAACACACTGGAACAAAAGCTCCGAGAATCAAGACTCAGTGTGTGTTTGTATCATCGGTTCGACCTTTGCCTGTACAGAATCTAGTGATGTTTTGTTGTTGTTTTAAGGAATGAATAAATGAGATTTGTAAATTTAGTAATTTTAAAAGTTTCAAAACTCTAGTCACTGACAGATTTTCAAAATTGCAAAAATGGATTTAGCAGTAAATTATTGCAATTTTTTTATGAATTAGCTAAGATGAATATTCTTGTGAACAACTATTCATGTCCAGCAGTGCTGCTAGGCTGCATCAGTTCACAGGATAGTATCTAAAATAAATACTAAAAAGGAAAGTGAAAATGAAGTGATTTGTGTTGCTTGTCCCTCCCACAGGCACGATTTTCAAACACCTTCCACATCTCTAGCTCTGGTTTTTTTGCTCCCTCAGCTAGACATACTCTCAAGCACACGTGAGGCCCACCTATAATCCCACACACCATCCCCACTCCCCTCCCACTGCTATGGGAGCCCTGGACACACTATCTGTGATGTGGAGTTGAGGGTTGGTGGTTACCACCTCCTGGCAGATGTGAGCAGGGAAGTAAAGAGCCGGGGAGGATTCTTCCTGGCTTTTTAACTTATTTTTCTCCAAAACATTTCTTTTACATTGCAATCAGGCTTGATAGCCCTATTACTATGCAATTTCAAATATGTTAGGGTTTAAGTGAGCTTTTGTGAGCTATGTCTTAGGGCTGCAAGTGTTTGGAGTTCTAATCCACTGATATAAAAATAGAGTTTTGGTAAAATGAAAATTGAAAAAATTTATAACATTTATATTTTGTAATATAATTTATTATTCACTTGGAGTATGATTTATCGGTAATATTGCAACAAATGTTCTGATGAGTGAATGCTTGACCTGACCCAGTGAGGTAATTCTACCAATGCATGAATCCGTTATCTAAGTATTCTCAAGTAAAGCATGACATTTGTAAAGATGCAAATATTATGTACCAATTTTGAGCTTTGGAAGTAGCAGTTTCTTCTGAGATTTACAGTGGGGGGTTTCACTGTATCTCTGTCTACAAATCTTAGATAACACTCTATATGTATTCAGTAAATATTCGTTGAGACTTAATATGTGCTTTGGGAATAGAACAATGAATAAGACATAGTTTCTGCTTCATGGACCTTCCTGTCACATTTGCTTCTTTGGGGTAGGTGTGGTGTTCATCACATTGTCCAGCCACAGTCTTCCCAGGGACACACAATCTAGGAGTATACATTTCTACTCATTCATCATCACCAATTTGCAAAATCATGTTGCTACTTTAGCATTTAGACGTTTATTTGGTCCAAATGAGAAGTTAGATTGCACTGATCAGCTGTCTCTTTGTCCTTCCAGCTGCAGCAGTTTTTCAATAACATGTTGGAGGAAGACCAGAGGATCAAAGTTCATACCAGATTACAGACAATAAAGAATGAAAACCTGAAAAACAAGAAGCGAAGAGACAGGATGGCTGAGTGGCTGAGGAGAAACACATAGGTTGGGGCTATCTTTCAGCGCTCCTCTTGCATATTATAATGGCATTTGCTCACAGTTTTGTCTTCCAATACTTTGTGAATCTGGAAAACCACACATTTTATTTGCATTTCAGTCACATTTATTAATCAGAGTGCTGTTCTTCCCATATTGTTACATTTGGCCCCAAGGTTGGATGATTGCTGACAATTTTGCCAATGCTGCTGTATTTCTGGGAAAGATGTCACTTCATGTTAGGCTACAATCCCAGAGAATTTACTTTAAATGTCATGGAAAAACAAATGTACCTAAGAAAGTCTTGCTTATTTTGTTGTGAAGCCAGTGGAATATGAAATCATTGGCTTTGATGAGGAGCACATTCTTTGCTGAGGGAAATAACAGTTTTGCAAAGCCCTAGGGTTTTTCAACATTGGAAATTGAAGATAACATGATAATATAAAGAAACAGACACTCGAAAAGTATATTCACTAGAAGACAGAAGAGCCAAAGCAAAGCAAGATTAGAAAAGAAACAGTAGACAATTTAATGAGCCCTAAAGGCAAGAAGTGTGTCTTCTCCTGCCCATTTCTCTCTCCCACAGTATATCCTGCATTGAACCACGCATTGCTGGTTACTGAACTTTATGGTGTCACAAAAAGACAAATGATTGTAGGATCCTTGGAAGTGCACTTAGACTTGCTGTGGTGGAGGCCACAGTGGAGATAAAGGCTCCACTCTGCAGCTCTTGATTGTGTATTCACCTGTGGGATGGACATACTTTCAGCCTAAGCAGACGAGTGACAATAATGATGTCAAAAGATGATAGCAGGCTGGGCGCGGTAGCTCACGCCTATAATCCCAGCACTTTGGGAAGCCAAGGCAGGTGGGTCACGAGGTCAAGAGATCAAGACCATCCTGGTCAACAAGGTGAAACCCTGCCTCTACTAAAAACACAAAAATTAGCTGGGCATGGTGGTGCGCACCTGTAGTCCCAGCTACTCAGGAGGCTGAAGCAGGAGAATTGCTTGAACCCAGGAGGCGGAGGTTTCGGTGAGCCGAGATCGTGCCATTGCACTCCAGTCTGGGTAACAACAGCGAAACTCCGTCCCAAAAAAATAAAAAATAAAAAATAAAAGGTTGATAGCAAGTACCAGCTACTATTTAGGGCAAAAGGAATTTTGAAATGAAGGAAACAGAACTAAAAGACTAACTGGAGCATAATCCTTACAGTTTTGCACTCAGGGGATTAAGTTTGAAACATGGTGTCTTTTGGCCAAATTGAACCTACTTGTAATGTGGACCAACTTACTTTATACATTTTCGTCAGTCTCAATGTATGGAATTAGCTTAGTTTTCTCATGCTTGATTAAACAAGACAACTAAAGCTAATCGTTCCTCTTCTCGACTTTGTGTATGTGATTTAATCTTTTATTTGATTTTTATTTTTGTAGAATGGAGGTAAACCTACAGATCTCCACCTCAGGACGATGTTGTAAAGATTAAGAAGTGTGACGTCAATTAATAGTCTTTAAAGATGTTATATAAGTTCCAAGCAATGTGATCTAAGGCTTTTTTCCTATTTCTTGTATATGTTAAGGCAGCCATAAATGAAAATACGATACCAACATTTGCTTTTATATTTGCATCACAAGAGAATTCTCCCTGAGTGTCGGGGGAGGCTGTGGGACTTCACCATGTGGACAAACTAAAGCACAGGATACTCAGACTTGGCCACAGGTCATAGGTCAGAGAATTTTTTTCTGCAAATTTAGAAATGTAAATTTTAGGTAATAAAATATCTGCATGCCTTCAAAGTGTTGTAGGTGAGATACTTTCCTGTTTTTTTTATTAAACACTCATTCTATATTTCCCATATTTCCTCTGATAATGAATCTCATCTTTCGATAACTTTGTCTTCACATGTCCTCTCAACTGCTTTTCTCTTCTTTCTCTTCCACTCTGTTTTAGTCCATTTTGTGCTGCTGTCACAGAATACTTTAGACTGAGTAATTTATGAAGAGCAGAGATGTGTTTCTTATCATTTTGGAGGCTGGAGATTCCAAGGTCGAGGGGCCCGAATCTCACTAGGGCCTTCTTGCTGTGCCATCCCACGGTGGAAGGCAAGAGGGCAAGAGAAAAAACAGGGAAGCGGGAAGAGGACTGACTCTTTTTTTTTTTTAATCAGGAACGCACTCCCAAGACAACTAACCCACTCGCATGATAACAGCATTAATGTATTCACGAAGGCAGTGCCTTCATGACCTAATCACCTCTTAAAAGTCCCAGCTCTCAACATTGTGTTGAGGATTAAGTTTCCAACACAAGACCTTGGAGGGACACATTCAAACCATAGCTGTCTCCTCTATTTCCATTCCTGTTTTTTCTCCCTCAAGCTCCCGCTTCCCTTGTTTCCCTTTTCCCTTTCTCCTCTTTCCAGTAATCTCTGCCCTCCTTCTGCCTGGTTGTTCTTATCCTTTCTCCTTGGTCTTCCTACCCGACCATGCTCTCAGTCCCCCAAGTGTGCTTTGGAGCTGACACTGAGGCCCAAGAAGGCTCTGATGCCTGTATTGGGTGATGGCCAAGAACCACTGATCTCACCAGAAGAGCATGTAGGCTGGTCTCTCCAGACTGTTAAAAGCTAAACTGAATTCTGTTACATCTTAGCTTCTATAGTAATTAAACAGTGCTGAAGGTGTTTCTCCAAAATCGAATGCCTAAATATTTGATTAATAGTCTTTCCTCTAAATATTGAAAAAATGGATTATATATCTTTTTTCTTACTTGGATGAAGCTGGTTATTTAAACACTGCATTGTATTATGCTTTACCTTATACAAAGTATAAAAGTAAGTAATTGTTGATTGGTTTCTGTGATAGCAATAATGTAGTAACAAGCGAGGGAGTGATACTGAGGCTGATTTGTCTGAGTGGTATAAACACTTTATTAACCAATAAAAACAGCTTATCTATTAGCACCCCAACTATAAAACAATTTCCCTGACCCAGTCCATTTAATGTATAGCTTTCATCCTGAAAACAACAAGATGTACAATAGAGTCATGATTTTTTCCAATTTCATAATTAGAAATTAAATTTTTTCTCACAATCTTATGCCTTTTTTTGTTTTTGTCCACCCCCATTCTGTGACTTGCCATTGTTGACTTTAAATAAAAGAATTTAGTGTGGTGTTCAACATCTTTTGTAATTTAGATCTCTGGGACTAATCTGTATAGCAATTTATTTTGAGGAATGCATGAAGAAGCAAAGTGAGATGAGATTTAAAAGGCAGCTCTTCTTAGTTACTTTTCTTGTTTAATCCATTCTTTGCTCCAATAAATGCTATCTTTTTCTCATCCAATTCTAACAGGATTACCATGTTCAAAGCAAAGCCTTAAGGGGTGCTTACAAGTAAACATAACTGCCTCCCCCACACAAAGAATGATGTATAGCACAATTGGCAGCATTTGAAACCATACAAATGTTGCCTTTGGCTCATTCTTCTAATTCAACAAGATTTAGCAAAGGTAATCTCTACAACACACATATTTAGGAGTTATTTGGACTCTTCCTCTTCCCTTGTCTTCATAAATCAGTCCTAGAGGTGATAGAGAACAAGGTAGGCATGTGTACCACTGGGAACTGAGGGGGAGCTGTGGCGGTCCATGACCTGAAGTGGGGCATAAGAGTTTGAGTGGAGTGAAGGGGGAGTAAAGGAAGAATCCACACAGAGGAGGGAAGAACACAGTGGGATGTCAGAACCCAAAGAGGGTGAATAGGGTCACCACACAGTGGGCGAGGGGGTTATGACATGGTGACTTAGAGCCCAGATAGGGTGAGAAGGGTGTCTAATGGGGGGGTGTAACCCAGAATGGGCAGTTCAAGTCCTTGTGGGGTAAGGTGGACATCCACATGTTGGAAGGTGGCCTAGTATGAGGTATGAGAACATGGGGAGGGTAAGGAGGGCATCCTCATGGGGAGGGGGAGAGGCAGATATAAGAGGTGGGTGAACATGGGGTTGTGAGTCAAACAAGAAAATATCCATAGTAATAGGAACCAGGCTTCTCACTGTTGGAGAAGGGAATTACAGAGATTCAAATGGAGGGAACATGAAAGAACTGTTCTGGTATGGAATTGGAAGTATTTGCGTGGACTCACGGTTTTCAATATCTAGATAGAATTGTAAGTATCTGTAAAGTATAAAATAAATAGCTGTAATACCTATAGATATATTTTGCTCTTTATCTGTAAATAAATATCGTTTTTTGCGCTTACTTTTAATGGCAAAAACCACAGCTACTTTTACAGCAGCCTAATATATCTATATCTACATCGTCTATATCTACCTCTATTTATATAGAGATAATGAAAGAGTAACAGTAATGGCAAAACCTGCAATTACTTTTGTACCAACCTAATGGCTTTAGACACTAGGTTTCCTCTGAGAGGGAGTGGCAGCAGGAACACCTAGTTACGGACTGAATGTATCCCCCAACAATTCATATGTTGAAGCTCTAATAATAGTATTTGGAGGTGAGGACTTTGGGAGTTAATTAGGTTTAGATGAGGTCTTAAGGTTGGAGCCCACATCATGTGATAAGTGACCTTGCAGGAAGAGGAACAGACACCAGGCCATCTTCTGTGCCTCCATATGCGTGCACCAAAAACAGCATATGAACACAGAGAGAGGAGGCAGCTGCCTACAAGCCAGGAGGAGAACTCTCACCAGGAACCCAAGCTGCCGGCCCCTTGATATTGGGCCTCCAGAACTGTGAGAAATTAGTATTTATTTCTTAGACCACCAGTCTATGGTATTTTGTTATGGCAGCTCAAACTAAGACAACCCTAATAATGAGCACAGCTATTGAGCATATCTTGGCTTCTAGATGCCATTCTCCACTAAAAAAAAAACAAAGTTCCTTGAAAAAATGGCTGATTTTAGGGCCAGGAGAGGAAAGGAAAGGGACAATTAAAAGTGGAACATCTTTTGAAGCAAAAAGCAAGGATGTACTAAAAAAATGTGGACATATCAAATGGGCACAAAAGCCAGCTTGAAGGGAACACCACTGGTCAAATCTGTGAAATTTTGAGAATCATAACAATAAAGGCAGTAAGGGAATAAAATAATAAATCATGAGCTAAATAATGAACCAATTAAAATTTTTATATGGAGGGGTATTTACATAATTTCAAAGTAATTTCCCACAAAGCACTATTGAATAATGAAAGCAAAATGAGTAATTTACAGTGGAAAAGTCTGGCAGATGTCACATTAATCAATTGGTCATTTCCAATGACATTTCATTGCAGTGGGTTAAATAGAAATTTTATTCCATTTAATAAGATGAAATGACAAAACTACAGTGTTACTCTTGTTATACTTCTAACAAATATATATAACATGAATCTAATAATGAAGAAAGAACAAATTGAGGGACATGCCACAAAAATAATACCCAAAAGTCTTAAAGTCATGAAAGTCAAGGAAAGACAGAGGATCCGTTCTAGACTGGAGGAGCTTGGAGACGTGACAACTGAATGTAATATATGGTCCTGAACTGGTTCCTTTCTCCATAAAAGACTAATGTTACTGGGACAATTGGCAAAACTTGGGTGGAGTCTGAAGATTAGATGCTACCATTGTTAATTTCTCAACTTTGATGGTTTGTTGTATTTATGTAGAAAATATTTTTGGTTGTAACAATAACCTATTGATTCAGGAAAAAAATATTTTTATGGTAACTCCAACTTTAAGTTTCTGAATAAATTAAACTTAAATAAAAGAGTTATTTGTTACTGGAACTGCAATGCACTTTCTTTTCAAGC